AATTCAAAATGAGAGAAAATTGTATAAAACACTGACCTTATAAAAAATGCACTCAACTTAGATGTCATAGAAAGTAGCAAATGCTGACGGCGAGTCTATTTAACTTGTAAATTCAAACCGTCATATTTACCTAGTTCAGCCAACTGCAATTTTTTCCATCTCTAAGATTGACCGAGTGTTTATTTAGATGAACTACAGTGCAAGAAGGATAAAATGAGGAGCAACACTCTTCAAGCAAGTCAAAATTAGATTGGAACTGATGAAAGCACACAACACCGGGTTCGTATTGTTAAACTGAAAAGTCCCACTAAAATGCGTTTGTTTCTGTCCCATAGCAGTTTAGATTGTTCTCAATATATTGTATTTTATCAGATAACTTCTTAGTTTTGTTATTTCATGATAAATAGACAGATATAAAAGCAAAAACCTCGCACAAAAGTGTATCTATTAAGGTAGACAAATTTTGCGAAAGGGTGTGCAGATAAAATCAGTAAAATCGCAATGACACTAAAAAATGGAAGCCTAAAAGCTTCTCAATATTGTCTTGATCATCCCTGTTTTATAATTGTCCAGTAGGATGGAGAGAAATTCTGTGAAGTGAGTTTTTTGGCTGATAAATAGTTAGGTATCTCAATAAATACGCAAACAGCCTTACTTAAAGAGTTTCTTTATCATTCTCTGATTGCTAAGATGCATGAATAAACGAAGTTTTAAATTATTCAGAAATATGCCCAGAGTAACAGAACAACCAGTAAAAGTGACTGACACGAAACCTAGGTCAAACAAGGCTTCTAAACATCAAATAGTTGCTCGATAATGTGCAAAAATGAATTAACAGTGACACTTGTCGAGTAATGTAAGCAAAGTATAAATTATTGATTTGAAATCATTCATTGGATCACACGACAAAGTAAGTAAAATAGGAGTAATAATAATCCACTCGTTTTAAGAAAACCCTATGAAGGACACAAATCAGCAGAATTCTGTTGGAATATTTTCAGTTATTCATTTCGGCTAACCCGTTACTTTCATGGAGATATACCATTCAGCCGTTCCTTTAGAACTGGTTTCACTAGACTTTAAATAAAATAAATCATTTGCCACACTTAAGAAGAGCATTCCATGTGGCTAAGAAACACAGTACCAATATCAATAGTGAATCCCACATTAGCTCATCGTCTTCCTACTTAATGAAGAGTTTGATTTGTGTATGCGACACCTTTGGTGTTATTTTACAAAGCATAGTCTAAAATGCATCAGTTCGTCTTTTATGCTTGAAGAAAGCTAGTAGAAGCTACTTCATAAAACGAGGTTACTTCATACGACTATTTTTTCGATCCTTCTTCTTTATTTGGCTTCTAATATAGCCGGTTATTTCACAAAATTCACTTCGCTCCCCTTTACTGTCACTATAATTTTTCACGTATCATCACTTTAATAGTAGGATCCCTTGTCATATATTTGACAGTTTACCATGATTGAGAAGAATTTCTCTTAACTCTAGTGGTTTTCACATTTGTACGAATGTTAGAGAGAACACTTTGAAGGGAAGTTCAGCTAGCTCTCACCAACGCATCAGCAGCCCAGCATCCAGCCTGAACCTGAATGGGATGCACATCTCGGCCTCCAGATCTCCTTGAAGTTGTGAAAGCTATATCGGACCAGGAACGATGTCAGGACTTGACAGTTTGCCACCTGAAGTTTTCAAGGACAGAGGTAGTAAATTGATGATTAGAGTGGCGGAGGTACTAAGTAGTGTATGGAATCAAAGGTGGTGTCGTCAGACTGGTCTACTTCACTGGTCATCCCAGTCTATTAGAAGTAGGAGAAATCTTATTGTGACAAACATGGGGAAATTATACACATCCAGTCCATAGATGTTACGAATGTCCTAGAAAAAGCTGAGCCCCGAGTCCGATTGAATCACTATAGGAATATGTTTTAATATAATCATACGGGAATTAGTTCGAATAATATGATTTCCAAGATCTTAGGGTCCACAGTTATCCGACGCCTAACTGGAGCCCGAGAACAGCAGAATGGAGAAAACTACAGGTGAATGAATAAGCAAAGCGATCAGAGAGGCGTTTTTTCAGTTGTGTGAGTAAGGTGAAACAAAAATAAGATGGGAAATTTAGTTCGACAATGAAAAGTAAAATGGGACTGTGAGTCATCAAGGGTGAGAAAGAATAAATTACTAGTTTGGAAGAATGAATATTTGAACATCAAACAATGCATAATAAATAAATAATAATAACGATAAAGATGCTTTTGATAACAACTGGAGTATGAGTGATAACAAAATGGACTATGCAATATATAAAATGGTCCGCAGAATGTATATAACTCAGAAAGGAAGGTAAGGTTTATGAAAATAGTAGACCAATAAAGTGTTATGTAATAGAAGTAGACAAGTCGTTAAAATACAACAAATACTTTTCTGACGTGATTAAGACGATTAAGCGAAATAACACTAGAAACTGTTCAACCAAGAGTAAGTTCGGAATAAATCATGTAGAATGAAATTGTGTTCTGCCTTCTCTTCATATATTATTTACAACTGTCTATCCCAGTCATTGTTTGCCATATTTGTGGGATGTTTAAGCCATCTTTTCTGTTTACCGAAGAAGGGTATGAACAGATGTGCAAAACGTCTGCAGTGGCCCGCTCCTCATGAGAAAGAAAATCCTTTTGCAGGACTTTTGTCTTTTCGAATAATATTTTATGATCTAAATATAAGGCATGAACCACGATGGCAGAGCTTTATTCAAGTTTTTCCAGATCATAGGAACTTTTTGGTGGTTTATTGCAACTTCGACTAGACAAATTAGTACTTGAGGTGAGGTCTCTCCAAAGTGTCTGGCATCGCATTCATTACAGTCTGCCTTATAAACACAGTTCTGTTGTCCCAAATGCTGAACCAGATCTTTTAACTTACACAGGTGCGTGATGTGTTCATCACCTTAAAGAATACTCAGGTGTTGTAATTAAGTAGGATACGTCTTATTTCTTTTTATATGGATGTTCGATAAGGAAGTACCGTAGTACTTATCCAATCTTTATAGCTTGGTTTTTCCATGTCTTTTTTCGATAAGTTTTTTTCTATCCTTTTTAATAGCTTCTCTAGATTGCTGTTTTGCTTTGAGACTTCCCGAACAAGTTGCCTATCTGCTTCCTAAGATTCCACTTCATTTGGTATCCTTTGTGATCTCGTCAACAGATTTTTGGCGACTTTCGATTTAGTTTTCAATGGGTGAGTCGAATCCAAGTCCAAGTTAGAATATATATCTTTTCGATAGATATCAATGTCCCATCATTGTTTCGCATTGCCTTGCAGTCTAGCGTTCTGCATTCTGTTTCTAGTTCATATGTGAATTTTATGGAATTGAAACGGCTATTAAGATATTCCAGAAGAATTTCTAGATTTTGTTTTTGGTTATGACGAGCTTATGCTAATACCTTACCACCCAAAACAAAACTAGATAGGTAGAACAAAGATCGTTCCATAACTGACTAGCAAAAAATCACATGCCTTACCGAATGAACCACAGCTCAAATTATTGGCTGGTTCAACTTATTTCAAATTACTTACCATAGCTACCTATAATTAAAATTAACGTTTTATACTATTACTTACTGGTAACTTTTTCTCTGCTCATTGTTGTTCACCTCATAGAGCCAGTCAACAATTACAAATAAGAAGAGGTGATAGTTGCAATGAATATGGTTGAAAATGTCCGTCGAATTCAGATCAGATTTCTTTCAGAAATAGTGAAGCTCTAATTGACTTCCTCATTCAACCATACAACCAAAGACATAATTCTACCGTGTTTTAACTGCTAGTGCCTCAGACTAGCCGATCAAATGAAACAAAAGATGATTCTACTTAGCAATCATACACAGTTTTTTTCATTAATTTGTTTTATAATCGCGCAAAATAAAAAATAAATAAAACAACCATGTTAAATCAAGAGATAAAACGAAGGAAAAAACACTGGTAAAGACATGTAAAACCCGGGTTTTCATACTTCTGCCAGTGCAGAAAGCCATGAAAACCCTCACGCGACTGGGAGACCCAATTTCATGCATACATGAAGGGAAAAGATGAAATATGCACAAGAACAGAAGCGAAAAGTTGTTGAAAAAGGGAAGAAGAGTAGGATCGTAGAAATACCATTATCTACAATCGGTAAAAGGGGAGATTAAAATTCACAAACCAATTTAATTGGTGTTTCTACTTCAGAAACAATTAATATTGATAGTCGTTATAAATAAATGCTTTGTTCCAAGGACAGAATGAACGAAATATTGGATAAAACAGCCGGTCATTGAAAAACATGACGATGCAAGAAATTAAAATACTGTACATAAAAGGAAAACAAGACTGGTAGTTATAAAATAATGCTGACTTGTTAAACAGTTGAAACATATGCACATACACAAACCCACATCAATCATTTATGATAAATATTTACATTCAAGTTTGGTAATAACAAAGTGAATCAGTGATGAAATTATCAGTCAACTAATTCCTAACCTCGAAACCGACGCACACATAGGAGAGGTGATAGTCGGAGAACTCAAAGTAACAAAATCCACAAACAATCAAACAAGGAAAGAATGGATTAGATGAATAAACCTGGAACAGCACAACGGAAGAAGAAGGCAACTTATCACCAATCGGATGGTTTATATGACTACTTTGGTAGGAATAATGCCTGAAATAAAGGGAGATGAATCTAGAGCGTTTATTTTTATAGCCATCACTATACGATAAAATCGTTGAACAAAATCATGATAATTTGCAATAAATAATTTTCACAATCATATTCACTGTCTCTATGTCGCTCTTCAAAAAGAAACTCATCGTCAAGAGGACAGAATAAGCCCGAATGTATAATGGAGGGATGTGCACATGGCTAAACCACAAAGAGATTAGAAAAGGCACAAGAGACAAACAAGGGATGTTCAGAATATGTAGGGTGTGTCGGAGTATTTGTTCATGCAGACGGTTCTCGTGTTACAAACGACATGGGGAAAAAGCCGACCTGAAGAAATAGAAAAAAAGGGATATGAATTATACTGAAATACTGAAACTACACAGATGTTTTAATTACAGCTGAGATGCACCCATTTTACAACCTTTTACAATAAGAAGAACAACAACTAAAGAGTAATCAAAAGCTGATGATTTCCATCTCGCAAGTTGTCTAAATGTCATCTATGATAGTAAGATATTCACTACGTTAAAAATTGACCTTGACGGAGTCATATCTTGCATACCAATGGTAAGAAAAAGCAACCGCTCCAGTATTCGGGTACAGAATCACTAAACCATGTAGTATATGCTTCTCCAAATAGACTATAACTGGTTTCCATGTTGACAAAAAACAGAAAACTATTCAAAGAGCAGCCATTTCACCGAAGCATTTACATTTCGTAGTTTAATTTTTAGTGGAGTGGTTAAAACTGTCTTTTTTAAGGAGACAGCTACCTAGTACATAATTAGTACTGCACAAGTATAATCTTCCATTGGAAATCGCTTTCAGGCATAACATAAGCGACTTTAAAACCTAGAATCATGACCGATATGAATAATAGAAACATACAAGGTAAACACTTATAAGGTTAAGTGTTAGATGAGGGAAGTCAATCAACAGGGAACCCTAGACCTATTTTTCACCCCTGTTGGCACTTATCAGCGAGGTGTGTCTGCAATCATAAGACAATCGGTGTTGCCTCGATGACAGCATATGTTGAGTCACTAGTAAGTATTAGACAGTATTTGACGGAGCAATACAATGGAGCTTTGACAAAACTTTAGTCTGCTTAAAATGGTTAGTAGATGTTGATAACGTGTCAAGTAGTAAATCTTCTAATTATCACGACGAACTGTTGAAGGTCATGAGAAAGCAAAAGATTATTTTCTCAGCAGTTAATGTGACTACTTTAAACAGATTAAGTAGAAGATGAATGCACGGAAAATTTAAGTGATACGGGCAAGTTTAAGCATTCTACTGCAAGCAAGCAATACACCAATAACAATCTGGTTATATGATTTCCCATTAACAAACTTTAAAGCGATTAGGAATCACAATTATAATGGATAAGATAAATGTAAGCCCTAAGCAAACATCCTTCAACTGTAGATATGGCAGCAATGGTGTAAAGATAGGGATGTGTTTTATTCCCTGAGATGAAGCTTTTATCGCCATCATCCCCAGAGACTTCCTGCTTGTTGGTACCCACAAGACGGGCATATTAGCAACAGTAAGAAAACTATTTGCCTATATATATAATCAGTGTGACATTATGAGACAGTTGCGGTTTCGCAGATTCGTATTATTGGTAATTGATGATGACTGAATATGAGATGTAAACCTGAGTTCCGATAGGATTCGAACCAGCGATCAAACCTGACAGTTAAACTGATAACTAATATATGATGCTCCTCACTTCTAACTCAGGTTGATTTGGTTTGGAATGAGAAGTCGTGACTTGGCACCCAGTGTAATAACAATGAACGGACAGTAACGCACCACGAATTCATATGACAGTGGGACAAAATCCCTGATGATTGATTGGAGTAATATTCAGATCTGTTCAGTAGCCGAATCTCGTAGGTCAGTTGGTAGAACACCGGGTCATGAAAATAGAGTTTGGTAGTTCAAATCCTGTCGCGACCCATATATATATATATATATATATATATATATATATGACCGTAATTGTTTTTGAAGTTATCCAAAATATTTACAAAAAACAATTAATATTAGTAACAAAGACAAAGGTTGAAATGAATAAGTTTTTTTATAATAACGCGTATGGAATGGTAAACGTATGATAGCTGATGAAGTTATCTACTTCTTAAGGTAGATTGAAGTTCCTCGATCAATTTGGTAATGTGAACATTGCGCTAAGGTAAAATAGCACAGTGCGTTTTAATATTGGATTTCAGGAGAATTTAGTTCTCTTGTCCATTGACACTCCTCAGCAAAAAGTATCTTTAACGTTGAGCATACTTCTGTCCCACCGGAGAAAGAGAAATGAGTCGATAGGTGTTGCAGTCAAATTACCCTACTAATGGAATGGTAATGAAATTTCAAATCAGAAAACAATTGCATGTTCGTGTATTAAGCAATGAGCCACACCTATTTTGTGGGGGCTACTGATACTACCTGACTGACATCGGTGGGATGGGAGATCGAACTTCTTGAGCGACAGCTCCACGACCACTGAGCTAGATTTATTGCCTCTAGTTGATTGTCTTTTAGCATATAGCAGTAGTGACGAGCATGATACAGGAATTACGTTCCTACCACCGACTACACCACCTAGAGATCAGATTCATTCAGAAAGTCTAGACGACAGTTCTAATGAGTGATGCTGAAAAGATGTAAGATCTTGTGAATAATGAGAGAAAATTTCAGAATTTTCGACGCAACTTACTGTTAGCAAATGGAAAATGATGCACTGGAAGTGATCTCTATTAATAATTAATTTAATGGTTAATTGTATTAACTACTGTGTTTACCTAAGGAATTACATCAGCTTTAATAGACCAATCACAAGGCCTAGATATCAACACAAAGGACTCATTCAACATTCATCAACCTCTGCTATCTATATCATTAATAATTTATTTGGTCCTCAATTACAGAGCGATTATGCTGAGTAGCGCATTCTACCCAGTATTACTCCATAGCTATGAGATAAGGTCATTAAAGACACACTACAGTTACGATTCCTTGAAAGCGCATCACCGATATACACTGCTCTCGGAAAGAAAAAGAGATTCACAAGGATGATTAATAGGTGTCATGATAAACAGGAAATCAACTGAGCAGTAACGTCTAACTACCATTTACATTATGTACCTTTAAACACAAATATTTCAAGAAGAATCTTTCACATCACCATGTTAATTATTAATTGAACTTACACGTCCATTTAACCATCCTTTCCACCAGCCTCTATCTTCAGCAGCACGACTGACAACTGCAACCCGATCACCCTCTTTCAAACTAAGGAAACGATTGTTAGATGCATCATGAAAATCAAAGTTTGCGCGAACGTAGAACAACGGTGAAGCTATAGATTGGGAAATAAACAAAGAAACTTTTACTTTCATACGTGTAGGGAGGTTTACACATACTGGAATAGAAATTACAGAAACTAATCCAAACATTTTTATTGAAAAAAAATCCCCACTGTATCATCATCTATCATTTTTCTTCAACACCCTCGCCTCATACACTGTTTAACATTTGGTATCACTTAAAAGCCTATATTAGGTGTTAATAGAAATGAAGATGATCTTGGAACATCTTTTTAAAGGAGAGATTCTTATCATCTAACCCATGAATTCACCACCTTAGCTACGATCTTGAAAATTCAAAATGGCATGAAAACACTGACTGCAGTTAATCCTAGGATATTTGCATTTTAGAAGATTCGTTTCCGACATGTTAAAAGAGTACATAGTAGCACGACATTTTAGACTGCAGGCATGCGAAAAGTTAGTTGGTTTTTTCTTCCTTTATGACAGGAAGTGAACAAAACAAAAATAAGCTACTGAAGTAGACTTTTTTTCTTGTGTCACAATTTAGTTTTATATCATTTCGGGATTAAAATGGCTTAATTCAATCGTTTAGTATTCAGTTGGAGCAATCAAACGAAATTAGCTAACTGTTCTTCTATTTTATTCTCAGATGAATTTCAACTGAATGTATACCGTTGCAGTTAAGCGTCATTTGACACCTACACCGTTAAGTCAGACAGATATTAGTTGTTGATAGGAGCAACTATTATTCATTATCACTTCCGGTTATTTAAACTAGTATGTACTGTTATTCGAATCTGCAAACATCCGATGGAATCAGACTTCCAAAGCGAGTAGAATACAATAAGCCTTGATCAGGAAGATCAGTCAACAATGCTAATTACTCATCATTTGCGTAGTTCTAAATAAAAATCTATTAGAGTTGGAAAAAAGCTACTGAAGTTAGATATCACCGTGCGTACGTACGTTCAACTCCATTATCAATCAATAGGTCAATTGCCTGGTGTGCAGATGATCCTATTCTGGCGTTTTTTTTAGCGACGTTAATCGGTTTACTGGTCATTTCGCCCCAGAAGTTAACATTTACGTAACCACGGTATATGCTACAAAAGAGAAGGAGCCTTGCATAATCTAATAAATAACATAATGATAGCTCTGGAAACACATATACTCCCGACTTCATCCCACTTCCCCTAAAAAACCTAACTAGTCATATACACAGTTCTAAAAATACAAATGCAGAGAAAATGTAAGATTTGGCATGCTTATACCATCACCCAAGCTACCACACTTCGAGTTAAACCAAAGATGGTGAACGAATTAAAGGCGAAACAAGAGAATATAAAAATATTCTTAATATTCATGGAGAGCTAAAAGATGGAAAAGGAATAAGTTACAGCTGGGAATAAAAAGCACACCAGGAAAAAGTTTATATTTAGAGTAAGACATTGACTAGTCACTGGAGAGCAATTAATTTCCTGAGTGCTAAGGGAATTCTACCGACCATTTTCTAATGTGGCCACCAAGCTAAGAGTTTCATCATCACGATGCACTTTGATGAGTATTATTTGGAGGAATGCAATCGGCAGGTAGCCCAGCCCAACCTAGGTTTCGTGCTTGCCAGCATTCGTCAGCAAGGCATATCTACAATCCCGAAGGAATCGATGTCCAGTCTGGGATTAAAACCCGCCCAGTGTTGAAGACAGGGACACCACCACACTGCGAAATGATCGATGGAATCCGGTAAGCACCAGACAACGTGCAATTGGTTGCTACCCAGTCACCAAATCAAACCTACTGGGGGCGGATTGCCGCCCGAATAGCTTAGAGGTAATGTCTCTGACTGCAGCACTGAGTGAAGAGGGTTTGAGTCTCAGAGGGAACATCAGTTTTCCTGAGGTTGTAGGCACAATTTGCCGACGAGTGTCAACAGGGATGATATCTAGGTCCAGGGTTTCCTACCAACTACCTCCAACCAACTAACAAGATGAAAGATCTTATAAGGAACAAACCAACTATTATACAATAAACAGAATGCCTTGTGATTGTTATCAATGTGGATTAATAAAAAAAATAACAATCCCATGATTTCTGATCTTTAATTTGAAATAACAGAAATTATCTTCGTTAGAAATCGGCGAGAGCATTATGACTTATCGAGTTATCTCATATTGTTGATTTATTTGAGAAGCATCGACAAACCAAGGTTGTCCTGTATGGATACCTGGAAATTATCGTGAATTAAAAACCTTAATAGTGCCTTATGATAGTCCTCAAAAGCCATCAAGGTGTCGTCTTTATCCTCCTTAGGGACTGAGCTATAGCTCATTGGTCATAGTAAATGGCTCAAAACACACAAATATTGACGTTTCAGCAGCCAGGTAGTTAGTTACATAGCAATCATACAACAGGTATAAATCATTCAGTGGCAGGTGGTTGCTATGACTCACATTTGTACGTGAGGTTAACTAGCTGAATTCGTTTCAGTTGTTGAGTGTCACAATGTTAATCCAACTATCGAATCTATGATTCGATCTGGACACATATTTTACAATTTATATTTTCAAAGTGACGTATTTCGAACAGTTTAATCAAATAAATAACTACCTAGTTGTAAACCTCAAGCATACATGCGTTAAGAGCGGTAGTAGTGCACTTAAAAAGTTACATTCATTGCTAACCATCATACTTCAAATAAACAAAATCATTCTCGTCCACGAACTGTTCCTCGTAGTCAGTGTTCAGTGATGATTAAGCGATAAACACCAGTCTTCTTTCCATATGCACATTTTTATTATTATTTGTCCCTTGGGTCCCTAGTGGAACACAGGGCTTTAGTAGCATGTCTCCATTTCACTCTCTTCTCTACAGTCTGTTTAACCTGGCTCCACAACTGCTCATAAGCTTTCATTTCTTCCTCACACCATCTCCTCCAACTCACCCTCAGTTAGGATGCCCATCTCGTCGTTTCCATTCGAGTTCCACTCGAGGACCTGCCCTGGAGCATGACGTCCCCAAATGGTCTTCTCAGTCTCTGTCCAATCCAATCCATCTCCACTTTCTTCTGCACATTTGTTGAACGACAGGTTCTTGGTTGCTTTGTTGCCAGGCTACAGTTCCTTCTTTCTGATTCTTATTATTCTGGCCACCTGATCTGATCTTCAGTATCGAGTGAGTGAAGGCGGCAGCTGTTCATGCATTTCTGTAGTTTGTTGGAAATGCTTTTCGTAACGCGCCAAGTCTCTCAACCATCAAATAGAAGCACTGACTTCCTTGACTTAATCAGTGTTGAAAATCCGCATCTTGTTCACACTTTGTGCTGAGTGCAGTGTAGCGCAGCAAATCTCTACACTGATTTCAGGTTAATGAAGGCCTTTCTTGCTTTCTCTCCGATCCTGCTTCTGACATCCTTATCTGTGCCTGTGCCGCCAGTAGTTGGAAAAATGCTGCCTAGGTAAGTGAAAGAGACTATTTCCCCTAGGTTTTTCCCGTTCATGGTGATTGATGCTTGTTGTTGTTATTGGTTGGGTATCTTCATCACCTCTGTCTTCTCCACGTTCACCTGAAGTCCCGTCTTCGTTGTTCTGCCACTTCTGCCTGTAGATTTTCGAGTTAATGCGACATTACACATATATCGGCATTGGCGAAAACCAAATCTTATAGGGTCTATACATCGGTCAAACAGCGTATACCCATCTTCTCGCTCCTCATAGTTTGTTGCATGATCCAGTCTAAATGCACATATATTTGATGAACTAAACACAAAATGAATTTAGACTTGTCAGTAATTAAAAGAAACAAAGCGTTTTAGTCAAGGCTATGAAACACACCAAAGACCCCATGTACAGGTCAACAATCAAAAGATTAATGAATCTCATGATTTTCAATATAACTAACAAATTCTTATAAGGACAAAGATCGATGGAATTTTCAATAAACAACCTTCAACTGAGAACCAATACACTAGGGTATAAGCTACACTTATCGTGTAAGGGCTGTAAGCCTGCTTAAATGCTCAACCATTGGTTTTGGAACTCACGATTCATTATCCGAAAGCTGAGTCCATTAACCGACGATACTGGATACGAACTGATAATTCTTACACATGTGATTCGTGATACGGCACAATGATGTAACACAATATACACACTCACTTTGGATTTGGTTAGGTTAACCTATCATGACCTTCAAATAAAGCTGGACTGAAGAATGATCTACTGAATGTTATTCAGTTTACCTTGACTTGAAATCTATGAAGGAATTACGTATGAAAAACTGAACAATTTCATAATCAAAAGATAGAGGGAGATAAACGTACCTTTCAAAAACGTTAATCAATACCAGACGAGATATAAGTAAAATAACTTACAAGGACACTTTTGGTATGGATACAATAGTGTGACATCAACTTCGTCGAAACATCGATTTAGTGACACCTTAGAATAGTTCTCAATCACCTCCTGAAAGAAAAAGATATGCAGAACAATCTAACTACAAACAATTCATAGAATACTGTGATGTGATTTGAAAATGTTTTAACACAGTACAGTTAAAAAATGGCTAGTACATAGTGGCACGAAAAAGCGATTCGAGATTCCATTTTTGACTTCCGGACCCAAATATTAGCAAATCAGAACACATCGAGGGAAGAGGAAGTAACTGAGAACCTATATGAAGCAATTCAAATGGTGATCAGAACACTGTACGTAACTTCGGAATGTTTGTGGGATTGAATTGAAAATATCTAAGCTGTGTGGGTAAGAATAATTGACTTACCAGCAGTATTGAGCAGGAAAATTACTTCGCAATATACAACCATCTCAATATCATGAGTAGACTATTCATCATCATATCGAAAACTCGTTTGTGCCTGACAGTTTCCAGAAATGATTGAGTAAAATTTATTCCAGATTTTATAAGGTTTAGAAACATCAACTTAAGTGTTCTATCTCATCTGCTCAACAGTAACTTGTGTATAATTCGCAGGTATTCATTAGTATAAAGCTCAAACTATGACCAGATATTAATATGCTATCGCTGAATATCCTGGGCGAAAGACGAAAGATTACGTCGAAAGTAGTGAAATTACAAGGTATGCATAGTAGCAAATTATGTTACACAGAACTAAAAGGCAAAACATACCGGTATACTTGGAAATTGTTCCAATTCACAAAGCCCATAGGTGACAGATGAATTGTCCGGTGATACGAAACGTTGTATACGAATATGCCTCGGATGACCAAATACTACAGACAGTGAATATTCACCCATTCTTTCAGCACTTTTAGATAAACGCACAAGAAAAGTACCATCAACACAATTGCTTAGCAGATTTACAGCCTCAAGTCTATCCATTTCACCAACGTACCTGAATATCAGAACAAATCAAATAATAAAAGAATTAGTAAAATTGAACAGTTCCAGATAGAAACAAGTAAATCACTCCATTGAAAACAATTAAACCTTTAAATAAGTTAACTGAACATAAACAGTAAACATTGACCGGTCAACCAAGGCACAATCAGGTAATAATTACAAAAAGGCGTACCACTTCAATGGATCATGCATTATATAAAGTGCAAATGACATAAACAAATCAAACTGGAGTAAGTTGTCTAAACTCTTAACGTAAAACAGCAAATAACACCATGCGGATTGCTAACATAAAGTTATATTTATGTTGTTCAACTTTTGTAACTATTTTATCTCTAAAATTTGGAGAATAGAAGCTCTGCAAAGTATAAAATATTCCAAAATGACAAAGGATAGCGGTTAAGGACTGCAATCACCGGCGTTAAGTAGCATTTTCACCTCCTCCAGCAGACAGTACAATGTAATGAGGTGCTTTGGTGTTCTTTTATGGCAAAGCATTATCGTAGTGTAAAATGATGCCATTTTTTCAGACCTTTAAGATAACGTGGGAAAACTATTCGCAGAAAGCTTGTCATTGAAATCGAGATCTTCCACCCAATACAAAGAGAAAACCAAATTATACTTTCTGCACTTTATATTTACTAACTGTATCCCATCGGTGTAAACCACAACCGAACTGGATATTTGAACAATCATGCTAGGATGTATTGATGAGTGGTACATGGTAGCACACACCAGCAGTTGTTTTTTGTTTATGGACCACTATATTAAGTGATGATTAGTTTACTGAGATTAATATCAGTATTCGAATTAGTAAGGTGTTAAAATACTTCAATAAATCTAGTCTTATGACCGTCATATACAATCCCATTTCTATACTGTGGTAACTAGCACTTAAGATGTCCAAACTATGTGATGAATACTAACAGAAATTCAGGATGTCATCTAAATCCATCAGATGACTTATTGTCAATCCCTCTGAAGACAACCTAAAATACTTACTTTTAAGTTGTCATCATAATACACTCAATAAGTCGATCTTAACGCTTGATCGTTGATCATGATGAAAAGAAGAACATCCAAATCATCAAAGTCAAAGGTTGACTTCAAGTGGAAATAGAAAACTTTCTAAGGAAGCCCTAATTTGATAGATTCCTCTTGATGCAATGGGATTAAAGCTAACGTTGAAAGGAAATCTGAGTTGGAAAGAGATTCCATCCGACAGCCTCCAGGTTACCAACAAGGAATGACCATGCATGGCAGTTCAGTCGCTAATGAGGTAGATCAATGAAGACCATTAGACCGAGCAACTCCGTAATCCAACCTTTCTATAAAATTAACCATCATCCGATTAAATCAAAGTACAAAGGTATAGGATTGAAGCGAAAGAAATGATTGCATAGAAGAAAGCTAAATATGAAGTATAGAAGGTAAGAACAAAAACTGTTTTAGGGATAACCTCATTACTAGAAGTCATGACACGTCGAGGATGAACATTTTCTTAGAAATTTCAGTGTGGATAAAACACAACTTAACACTGAACTTAGGATAACTGTTTAAATAAGGTCTTTAATGCACTGTAGGTTACTTCAGATTGCTCGTCATTGAATATATTCGAGGAATGTATAGAGAGTAAAGATGAGAAGGAAACCTTTAATTACAGTTGTCGAAAACCAGCTAAAGCAATATTTCCCATTCGATCGGTTGACTGAGTGTGCACCATAGTGAGTCGGAATATAGTAATATAAAATCTGTATGATATAGGCTACTGACTGAGATGAACAGTTGTACACCACTTCTGTGCTCGCTAACAAATCAATATAATCTAAAAACCAGACAACCACTTTTCTTGTTTTGAGACCAAGCTCATTACCAGTGTATATGGATACATTTACCTTAAATAGTTAAACTGTTCGACATAATGACGAAGATTCATAGCTTAACGTGACGATGGTTAGGTGTTCTCATAGCTTCGATATTTAATCATAGATGTTTCATTACTAGGTTTCGAGAGCTGGGGCTCAGTCGTCTAAGGAGATGACTACCAATCAACGGGTCACGGGTTCGAACCTCACTCCACCTATCGAGGTTTGGGCAGCCAGATAGTATCACTACCCTTCACACAGTAAGTAAGGCACATTGCCTAATGCACGGGTGTGTACAAGGTGGCTGAGTACATTTCGTTCGTTCGTTCGTTACCAGATTTAGCAACATCGTCAGCACTGACCTAATGAAGAAGATACGTTCAAATGTCACACAAATTCTTATGTAGTATTCTTGTCAACCTTGTGTAGTTGCATGTTGGGAAACCTTAAATTTCGTTCAGTTACACCGGAAGAAAATCTTTGTTAGAATGAAACTGTGCCACAAGCTACTGATACATTGGTTTGTGTGGTTAATTCGCAAATGATTGATGGATGGCTGTTTACTTTCTAAGTAGACTGAGTCCATGTGTATATGCTTTCAGTCTTCGAACCTACCCCTAGTAGGACTACCACATTCTTCGAGTCGAATCTTTCATTTCCTATGTGCATTGAAACCAAGCAGGATGCACCACGTAGCTTTACTTTAAATTGTTGATAGCAAATTCTTTAGTTAGAGAAAGGAGAAGCTAGTGTTGTCAACGATCTTTTTTCAATTGGTTTTTAAAATTATATTAAGCCCAGAGATGAAATGTTCACAACAGAATATCCAAGTTCAGACAGCACCATATCACTGTTAGACAAAAATTGTTATCAAAGATTATCCATGTGAACACTCAAACTATACGCAGTTTTCGTTGTCAGAATATGCTATATAGATTAATTTAAACTATTTATATAATCAGTCAGAAATGAAATATCTAACTGAATAATTTATTACAAGACTAATTGGAACTATGCAGATATGTCTGACTGTTGTTTAATGGCAAGTGTTGATTCATATTTTGCTAAATATGACGTCGAATTTGGAAAAGTTATAAAATGTACACAAGTCTTAGGAAGGAATTTAAGTGACATAATATTTGAACACTATATTTACCAGGATTTATTTTTAAAATTCTTCATGTTAAATTGGTCAGATACACATACAACAAAACATGTTCATTGCTTCTTAAGTTGACTATTATGTTTTTGGCGGGTAAGATAAGTAGACAAACATTAGTGAAGACGCTCGTGAAAAGTTCAATAGAGTAGTAGAGATTGTTCATTGGAAAACTACAGTCGTATTGATAAACATACTAAACCTAAAATCGGAAAACATTCTACTTTTCAGCACCCCAGTGAGCAGCATCCTCGCCCTTTACATTTTTTTACTCGATAATCTGTCCTCTTCCTTCCAAAATCACCACGTATTGTGTTTTCTGACTTTGTACTATATGCTACTGACCTACATTCCAATACGTAGTACTCATCACATTTGATTTGAAACCTTCTGTCATTCAAATTCTATTACTTTATACTCATTCAAATTCGCATCAAGAGAAAAGTGATATTTCATAAATTAATTGGCCCGAAAATATTATGAACCAGAACGCCGTATCTGCCTCAACCCAGCACTAATATGAGTTTACCTGAATTCAAATTTTTATTAGTTAGTGGGAGGGAAAACAAGCGATGTGCCCATCTTTAGAATGAGTGATTACATAAATTAACCAGAGATAGGAAATGTTTCTTTCAAAATGGTAAATCTCGACATTTTCATTTGACACTACTGTCCTGAACTGGTTTTGAGTATTCATTATTTGGTGACGGTACATGATTTTACCTGCATAACTGATATCAGTGCTGACTTCTTAGAAACTTTAAAAGCTTTCCTCATACTTTAAGATTGATGTCAGTAATCATATTAAACAGATTTACAGTTCACAATGCCAAATCATTGTATATTTCCTTTTATCAAAACAATAACTATTGGAACAGAAAAATTGGAATTAATATCGCTTGTAGTAAATACTGTAAATTCGGGCAGCTGTGGTCCAGACAAATGATTTTCAACCACTGAGACAATATTCATGATGGAATCAATCAATAAAGGACCAGATATTACTGTAAAACGGTACAAGTTGCCACATCTCGCATGAGCATAAAGAGTAACAAAGAAGCAAGATAAAAGACGAAGAAAGAGAAAAATCAGCCAAAAGTAGTAAAAAGAGGAAGGAGGAGTGAGAAAATGCTGAGTCAGTATAGAGGTTAAGAGGAAGATAAAATGTGGTTACATCTGCGTTATTGATATCGATTCTGAGCCAAATCACCCAGTCTCAAACCACTAGTTTCTGTTGTCACTCGGGCCCCAACCAGAAAGTTTACATTCCCCTGATGCCAAGTTTTATTCTGCCCGCCCTGAGCCTTATTCCAGTTTGAAACTACTTCAGCCAACATTGCGCGATTAGTCAGATTGTGGCTGGGTATGCCCAGCCAACTCAGTCAATGAAGGTTTGCAACTCCATCAACTGACTTTCCTCTCCCCCTGACTATTGAGTTACTCACTTGATAACACCACGATAGGCAGCCTGTACTACGAAGGCAACAGTGGTCAAACACCTGAAGGCTTCTCATTTCCTCTACATTCAATGGTCACGTTTCGCAGTCATACAGTAGAACAGGGCGAACTACAGCCCAGTACACTAAACCCTTAGTAGATAATCGGATATGATGGTAGCGCCATAGGTGGCGTAATTTAGCGAAAACCAACTGAGCCTTTTGTAAACGCATAGAGATTTCGTCGGTCATTGATCCACTAGGGCTGGTCCGACATCCGGCAAGTGTAGTGGTCAACAAACTCAACCATCCTACTCCCTATTGTTAGACAGGGCACCACTGAATTTAGGACACGCATTTTGTCTTAATCGAGGCACCCAAAAGCTAACAGTGGTCCATCAATTCGGTACAATCAAGGACGGAGTTTAACAAGCGATAAACTCAAAACTCAACCCTCATCTCCACCAAATTCGATAAAGCAAAACACGCAGGATCGCAAACACATACATACTTACTATGTAGTTAACTGTCCGTAGATGAATATCAAACAACATTTTACACCTCAGGTTATCAAAAAAGGCATTAGAGAATAGTAAGAGTTATCCTTGGTACAGACTATCAACTACTATAACAAATTAACTTCTACCATAATGCTACTGATCCAGCAGTTAGTTCATATACACAAAAGTTGCATAATACTGCTATGGGATTCAATAGGTTAAGGAATACTTTTTTTTAAAAGAATTATAAACAGAAACATTTACCGACAGAAATGGCGTACACAAATGCATATCACGCACAATATATGCATTAATCATTCATAAAAAAACAAAGGTATGCTGAAAAAGCGATCAAATCAACATACAGGACGATATTGAATAGACAACTAAATACGTAAATAGGCATGCACATAAATATGCATAATATTCTGAATAAAACCTCCATTGAAACTACTCAACTAACAGAAAAATAACAAATTTAAACAGATACTTGCGAAGCATTACTGAGTGGGATGCGATTGAGAGATTCCAGTATACTGTTTCTGTAAAATCATAATGTCAAGGTAATCAGGCATGCTGGGCCTAACGATCGTAAATACTTTTGGGAACATGAATTTATTAGCGTAAGATATGCTCTATTGATTGGAATGAATAATTATATTCCGTGGTATCATAACCAAGAGTACTTTCTACTTGGATTGAACCAACCATGAAACAACTCCTTCTGGAATTTAAAAAGACTAGTGAAATTCGATGCCTGTCAACAATGATAAACACGAAGTATACATTATATATATATATAGTTTACCAGGGATAAGTCGACAGAAAGAAGCGGGAATGTTCCAATCCTGGGTCTGTTGGAAAATGTTCAAACCTTGACGTTATAATTGTGGTAGCCGATGCAGTTTGCGTGGTTGGCAATACCGATGGAAGTAAATCAACACATTGGGATAACTCAGGGATTTCTAGAGCTGATAAACTACGCCCTTGTAAACGTCGAAACACTAAAAGAGGATGTGAGTTATTTGTACTTATATTCCTGCGCATTGAGGTAGATGTCAACGATGAACCAGGCGAACTATGAACATTATTACACATATTAAGCGATCGATTATCAGTATCATTAATATTATTATTCATAATCATATTTGCTATTGTACAAGATGGTAGACAGGAGGATGAAGTTTCACAAGTTGACATGAACGACTTTTGGCTTGAAGGACTAGTATTACTAAGTACTGGTAATCGTTCAGAATGAGACGATGAGGATACTTGATGAGACAGTCTCGTATTGATTGGCTAATCAAAATAAACATTAAAATAAGCATATTAAATTCTTATTTCATTAAAATAGGGAAACAGTTACAAAACTGAACACATATATAAACATGCCTGTGGAAAACAGATTCACATGCAGTCACTGACACATAAAAGCATATTATAAATCACCTCGTGCAAGCCATATTGTAAAATCAAAAGCTGATATACATAAATGAACAGAAGTGAGCATTCTAGCCACCAGTACAACTGAAAACAGACCAGTCATATCCGACAAGAGGATCATGGCAGTCCATAAGTGATGTAATAGTTTGTCTGGTTTGCCGTAGACAGTTGTTCGTCAAATTGTTGTTGTTGTTATTACAATTATTTAAGATAGTCTGCTGATGAGGATAGTGTTCCAGTTCAAAGTTTGAAGAAGCATCTTTAGCACCATTTGTTGAGACAGAACAATCTGCAGGTAGACTGTGACGACAAGGTTGCCCTACCATGTTAGACAGTGAAACCACTGAACTATCAGTGAATGGCATGATCTGAGGGCAAATCTAAGACAATTAATGACGAAACAAGAATAAATAGATACATGAGTAAAGGCTTCAAGTAATAATCATGGATCACTCATAATAATCTAAGTCAAATTAGTTTTCAGTAAGGAATGACAATTATGCTTGCGAAGTAATCTTGACAAGATCAAAATACATATATCTAAATCGTAAAACCACAACTTGCTAGTGTTACAGGTACATAGTGACTCTTCCCATCACTAACTTCTTCAATACACGTACAGATTGATAAGGAAGACAACGTAAAATAATATAACGCGGAAGAAGCCATTGGAAAACAACAGTGGAGCACACCATCACAAATGTATGCTAACTTTCGTATTAGGCACTAAATGTCATCGATTGAAGGTAAACAGTGATGGTTTTTCCCGACCGATAGCTGACCAATCTGGTGAATCCACAAAATTCACCCTTCGAGTTTCTGGAGATTCGATAGCTAGCTCTCGTGGTCTTGCAGGTGTAGGTATAGCATTAAGCACCAGGGCAGAAAACTCACTACTAGACTGGATCCCAGTTGATAGTCGCCTCTGCGCTATGAGGCTGAACGGCACAGTGAGAACTAAAAGGAATAGTGAGACTCGCCGTTGTCTCTTTGTAATCTCTGCTTACGCACCCACTGACTGTAGTTCGGATGAAGTGAAGGACGAGTTCTACCATAAACTGTCTAACCTCCTCTCGAAAGCCAAACGTTCGGACGTAGTGGTTGTTGCAGGTGACCTCAACGCACAGGTGGGTAGACTGAGTGAGGCAGAAAGGCACTTAGGTGGCACTTTCGGAATCCCAGCTGAACGTACAGATAACGGTGATCGCCTATTACAACTATGCTCAGATAACCGCCTATTTTTAGCCAGCACAAATTTCAGACATAAAGAAAGGCACTGTCTGACCTGGCGTCCACCGAGCTCGACTCAGCGATGGACACAGATAGACCACATTGCTATTAGTCATCGCTGGAGAGGATCGGTGGAAGACTGCCGCTCCTTCTGGAGTACGTGTTTGGACAGCGATCATGCGTTGGTCCGAGCACGTATATGCCTGCGTCTCAATGGACGTAGAAAAAATTTGGCAACAAAACCACTACGAGTTCTGCTGGACAACGAAAACACCAAAGCCGTGTTCAGTGAGAAGTTGGCTAGGCAGTTATCGGAACAAAAGACTGTCACTCATCCAGAAGAAGCTTGGTGCCATCTTCAGTCTACTGTAAAAGCAGCACTGGAGACTGTAGCCGACTCCAAGATAATGGCTAAAAAGAGCCAGTGGATATCAGCAGCTTCTTCCAAACTAATGGATGCACGTGAATGCATCCCTGCAGGCTCTGAGTACAATGAAGAGCGAGCGCAACTTAAAAATAAACTGACGAAAAGTCTGCGCAACGATCGTGAACAGTGGTGGGCAGCAAAGGCTAAAGAGATGGAAAAGGCAGCGGCGATCGGTAACAGTAGACAGTTATTTAGACTTATTAAGGAGACTGGGGGGAAATGGTCAACAACAGTTAGTGAGGTTATAGCGGAGAAGGACGGATCGATTCACTCGCAGGGAAGGCGACTGGGACGATGGGCAGAACACTTTGAGGAACAGTTTAACTGGCCTCCAGCCACCATTGCGCTGCCCGCTATCCAGTCGGACCCTGAATGGGACATAGAGACAGGTCCCCCAACACTAGAAGAAGTTGAGAAAGCGGTAGGTAGCCTGAAACGGGGAAGGGCAGCAGGACCAGACGGACTACCTGCTGAGGTATACAAGAATGGTGGTAGAGTTCTCTTAGTCAGGCTAACGGAAGTGTTAGCCAGTATATGGGAATCAAATACGATCCCCTCCGACTGGTCTAAGTCACTGATCATCCCAGTCTTCAAGAAAGGCGAGAAGTCCTCTTGTGATAACCACAGAGGAATCAGCCTGACAAACATAGTGTCTAAGATCCTAAGTTCTATAATTCTCCGACGCCTGAGTGGAGCTCGGGAACAGCAAGCCCGAGAAAACCAGGCAGGCTTTAGACCTGGCCGTGGATGTATCGACCAAATATTCACACTGCGCCAGGTCCTGGAACATAGGCATGCTTACAGACGCCCGACAATAGCTGTATTTCTCGACCTGAAGGCGGCATTTGACTCCGTTGATCGAGAAGTCTTATGGCAGTGTCTGTCACTGAAAGGCGTGCCTAGTAAGTACATCACCTTATTGAAAGCTCTCTACTCGAACACTTGTGGGCATGTTAGAGCCTATGGTGAGTTGTCCAGGGAGCTATACTCATCAAGTGGTGTCCGTCAAGGATGCCCACTATCCCCATTCTTATTTAATTTTATCATAGATATTCTTATGGAGGTTTCCCTCTCGTCACCTAATTACAAAGACGTTGACCGAATCACAGGTGAATTTTCCTTAGATCTAGAATATGCAGATGACATAGTCCTGTTAGGTGAAGACGCTGACAAGATGCAGAGTCTTCTGAACACTTTGAGTGGGAATTTGAGAATGTTTGGGATGCGATTTTCACCACCCAAATGCAAATTTTTGCTCCAGGACTGGTCTTCAGCGGTACCGCGGTTAACAATAGAGAGTGAAGTGGTTGAGTGTGTTGACCACTTCACTTACCTGGGAAGTAGGATCAACCCGGTGGGTTAGTTGCCGATGAGATTTCTGCACGGATACAAAAGGCTCGATTGGCTTTTGCCAATTTGCACCACCTATGGCGCCGCCGTGATATTCGTTTGTCTATTAAGGGTCGCGTGTACTGCACAGCAGTCCGCTCTGTTCTACTGTATGGCTGTGAAACATGGCCATTGAAAGTGGAGGATACAAAAGGGCTTCAGGTGTTTGACCACCGTTGCCTTCGTAGTATAGGACGTATTCCGTGGTGTCACCATGTGAGTAATGCAGAAGTTAGGTGTAGAGTTTTGGGGAGAAGAGGTAAGTCAGTTGACGAGGTTGTGAACCTTCATCGACTGAGATGGTTGGGACACGTACTACGTATGCCTAGTCACCGATTGCCTCGTCACACAATGTTGGCTGAGGTGGGTCCAGGCTGGAAAAAGGCCCGAGGTGGCCAGACTAAAACATGGCACCAATGTATGAAGTCTCTGACTATTGGTTTAAGCCATGTAGGACGATGCAGACTAGGTGGTTGGGGTCCACGGGACAAGAGGAACCAGTGGTTGGAGACCCTAGGTGATATGGCTCAGAACCGATGTCAGTGGCGCAGATGTATACACACATTATCCTCATCTTAACAACGCTATACCGAATCTCACTATTTTGTCATTCCTCTTTCCTTTCTTCTCGTACTTTATATTTCTTTTGACTGCATTCACTTATCTTCATCCTTCACCTCACTACCTTTTTACTTGATGTGCTGATATGAGGTGTGGCAACTCGGACCGTTACGCAGTAATGCCTGGTCCTATGTTGATAATGATGATGATGATGAAACAGTGATGGTTTAGGACAAGTCATTCACTAGTAGGCTCGACAATGAATCCACTGCTATACAATTATAGCATCACAGTGTTCCTGTTAAGCTATATACGATCATTTATTTCACAAACAATCTTTTGAACTGAGTGAATAAACAAACCACTTGATTGATATATAATGCTTACAAAAGAAAAATAACCTTTCTAGAGAAAATATGCATCACGTAAAAGCCAGCTACAAAGAGCTATTACAACAATAGATCAGGATAACTGAAATTAGACTCTTTACACAAAATATTTCTTAATGCAAACTATCACAGATTCGATCTGCAGCTAACTGCACGCTTAAGATTCATCACAATGTTATCAGATTACATTTGAAACATTAAGTGTGTACCAGTGGACTATTAGCAACCGGGGCTAAAATTATCCCACTTTTGTGTGCATTGATTCACTACTCGACATATAGGAAGGATAAAAGAAGTGTGTATCACTTGTAAAAGAACTAAGTCGGATACACAGGCATCTATGAAAGTTCAGTCACAATGTCAAATCTGCTGAAACGAAATATTGGTGACGCTTTGGGTAGAAGATCGGAAGCAGCACTGAACGCTGTACATAACATCAGGGTACATTGACAAACTGATCAAGTGGCTATGAAATGCTCATTCGGTTCAACAAGTTCTGATACTTTCATGTCGAGTTAGAAAGAGAATCAGCAAGTAGACCGACTACTGATCAAAGCATATTTCACATAAAATGAAATAATAAAACATTTGTGTTTTGTCTCTGTACTACTACCATTTTTGAACACTAAACAATGTCACAATGAAATACGACAAAGAACTAAGTGGTAGTAAAGTTAGAAGAATCTGGTATGACGATAAGTGGACTGGTCAGTATCAAAATGACCAACTTCTGTCTGATGAGCTACATACGTGGTATAACCAGGAGATTGCTGAGCAGACTTAGAAATTTGCATCACAGAATTCCTTTTCTTGAGTGTTTATAGTATTACAGATAACCCAAGAGTTTTATCAAGCAATATTTCAGGTTGGTATTCATCATGGACGGACATCAGTTGGAAGAACATAGAGAACCTGAGGGCACTGGACAACTATTTCGTTCCAGAGTGGGACTCTTCAGCAGTGCGCACCCATGACCCCACCAGGGATCGAACCTAAGACCTTCAGGTTTCATGACCAGCACGTTACCACTGATGGTGGGTGATGGTCGCGATACGTCGTGAACTGACATAAGTAGGAAATATGGACTATCAGATTCCGAGCCAGTGCATCGAGGGTAACGTGGTGGTCACAGAACTTGAAAGTCGTGGGTGAAAAGTCCCATGCTAGGACAAAACAGCTTTCCAGTGCTCCCAGGTTTCCAATGTTCCTCCAACTGATGTCAGTCCATGATGAATACCAACTTGAAAAATCTCCAAGTCCCCAAAATCCCCAAAATTGAAGAAATATTTCATAGTATATGATGAGGAAATGAATATACCGACGGTTAAGAAAAGTATTTATTAACTCAGATGGTACTTAGGAATAATCTTAGTTGTGCTGCGTTCTCTGAGATGGGTAGTAATCATGCTAAAGGAAAATTACATCGAGAGAGAGGAAGATTTACTCAAAAATAAGGATTTATATCAACCGATTGAGACTAACCATATACAAAAGTCCCACAACCAGATCACCAAAATCTTGAACAAGGTCGTCAAAGTAGGAGAAGTAACAAAATAAGACAAACAGCGAGTGAAATCGAATGGATCTGTTTTTTCTCTCATTTAGGGCAGGCCAAAACTATGACATTCTTATACGACCAATGAGCTTTACTTTCCAGGATCCCAATTCACTATATAACCAGAGAGCTTTGAAAGAAAATGAAATGACTTGTGGAGTCAAGCAAGCATTCCATCGAACCACTGACAGGAATTTCGGAAGAGATCGGAAAGGCAGAAAATAGAAAACGATGAATTACTCATAACCTTCGATATCACACTAATATATAAATCAACTGAACTATAACTGGTTAAGGATGTTATGTCGCTCCTCCTTGCTAACGATACAAGGTCTTCGGAAAGAAAAAAAAGCACCATGTTCAAGTCTGATGGAACTCACTGACCTTTATCTGACAACATACTTCCAATTTAACTACAAGATATAAAGGCAGATGAAAGAAACTCCAGTGGAATCACCGATATCTGGATCACTTGCGGAAGCTGTGATACACAGAGTGGAAGCCATTGTTTCACTCAAGATCAAACCGAAAATTTAGACCTGCTATCTGGGCGATACTTCTACTATCACTAAAAACAATGATTTAGAAAACATAGTTTGATCAACAGCGTTTTCAACGAAATCAAATTCATAGTGGAGAAGAAATCAAACAACTGCTATTCCTGGATGCTTCGGTCAGTAAAATGAACGCCAAAAAATTGGAAACTCAAATGTACAGAAAGTCAACAAATCTTCAACTACAGTAGCGACAACCTAACAAAGCACAAAATTACTTGTTCATAGACTTTATTCAAAAGAGCAACAACGCACTGCGGTACAACAGCTCCACCGAGAAATGAAGAAAATTACTGGATGTCTATCCTAAAGAAGAACGGTTATCCACGCAACTGCATCAGATGTCTATCCAATTCACAAAAATCAACAAACGGATTATCCTACGGTACATAAAGAACATATCAAAAATTACGACAAGAATACTGAGACCACTTGGAACTGGTCCCACTGGAACAAATTCCCTTCAAACCACACTATGTAGACCAAAAGGATGCAATAACCGAAGAAAATTAATGGAATCATCATTTACAAAATTAACTGAAACAACTGTGATCAGCACTACGTTGGACGAAATAGTCGCCCTCTTCGCCTTCATTTAATGAACATCAGTTGACTGGTAAACATCAATATTTGGACGCTCCTATTAATGCATGTTGACAATCATGAACATGAATTCAACTTTGAAGATGCAGAAATCTTGGACATAGGAAATACAAAGAATTCTCAAAAGCTTGGCACTCAGGTCAGTCAGCAGACGTATAGGAGCAGATCCAACCCATCAACCAATCAGGAAAATGATAGACAACAGCAAGGTCAGAGGTCAGGCCGAAAGACGGTCAACAGGAAAATCTACATAGTCAGTGAGACAACAATCAAAGGAAACTACCAATCGCGAACTACTTCATCAGGGTAAGCTGCTGAATTAATCAGTCACAGAGAAATCCTGATAGCACACTTCATACTGAAGTCAGTGCTGATGATGTGGTCTAGAAAGATAAAGAAAGCTTCACGGTTAGCCACAAATATTCTCCACCATTAAATAATATTCCATAAATATCATTAAAATTTGAAGATTCTCTGTTGCCAGAACTTATCCAGTTATGTGACCTTGGCGATATATCCAGTGAAAATTGATGAACACTCATGTTTTCTTACTAACCTTTGTGTTGTCTTATTGTGTTCCAAATACCTCACTCTACGTACTATTCATTCGTTTGCTGTTGTATGATAAATTTATTATTACTGTTGTTTTTATTCTACATCTTCTGAAAAGACTCCAGAATACTTCTTCAGCTTACTATCAACAGATAGACTTTGGCAGCATTATTTGTAATGCTAGCATTCATTGTTTCGTGTTTCCTATGTTATCTATCTTTTCCATTGTACATGTCTCTTCGGCTCAATAAAAACGCGTGCCAGTGGTTTTATTCTATATTAACTATAGACTGTGTAGATCAGACGAAGTCATGAAATAAAATGAAGTCATCTAATTGCATAAATCTTGTTCTTCTTGCTTTGATAACCATTGATATTCGAATTGTATCGCGTAGCAGCATACAACAAAAAGTATTTACTGTTCAATTGGTTGTTATTGACATTCAAAACTTAGGGGTACTTAACAACTGTTTTGTCCGAATTTGGGACAGAAGAGTGGTGTCCAAACATGACCCAACGAGGTGTAGAGTCCAGGGGCGTCAAGTCTCACAGAGAGCACATTACCATTTAACCAGTGGGTTGAGATCCATTGGCCCACATTTTCCTGCTTCTATCAATTAGCAATAAGGTGCAACTGATGTCAGTCCATGGTTGAAACCCCTTTTTAAGTCCCTACAAACTATCAAATAGAATTATCATCAAGATGAAGGTCTGATGAGAAGTTGTGACACGTGGGGTCAACCAAGTCAGTAATGCGGAAGATGTCCACCAATGACACTTGATGATGGCTGTGCTAGATCACAAACTGACAAAAATAAGAAAGTGTTAGCGACTAGATCCCAACCTAGTGGTTGAGCGACAGCACAGTCGTCGTGAAGCCTGATGGCCCTGGACTTGATTTATCAAAAGGTCGGGGATGTACACTGCTTAAGAGTCCCAAACAACGACGAAACAGCTGTCCAATAATTCCAAGTATATACTGTTGTCTAGCGACGTAATTAATAATGTTGGTTTAACTCCTTAACAGGCTTAATAGTCCGGTGAACCAGTACCCCAGGGCTTGAAATGCGACACAAAACTACCATCGATATAAATATATACATAAATACTAACTTACCTTGTTAACTTTATTATTCAATATTTCAACAGCAATAGCAGGGAACCAACCTTCAGAACCATCACAGTAACCCTAATGTAATGCAATTAGGCAAAAATAGTAATTTATTGTTAGGAAAGGAATGGGGAAGTAGTTGAAGGATATTACAGATATAAGGTGTATTGTGGAGAAATAGAGACACACAGAACCCGAATATACAAACAATGCTTTGGTTTATGAACAAATAGTCTGAAAACGTGACTGATTATGGTTATAATAACCTTACTGAGGAATAAGGTTTATTCAAGCACAATCCAGTGTAGTATCGTGAAGCAATATAGTTCTACTCAAGGAATAATCTAACAGAGAGGTTCACAATCACCACTTCCCCTAGCATTTAACCAAGGATCGGATCTTTAACTCTCACGAAAATCATATAACTGTTCAATTTCCGGCAACCAACCTTCGACAACGGACACCTCTGTACTAAACGAATTCATCTAATTCCAGCAGATACTCGGTTGAAGTGAGAATAATGATTACTGTCTACTTCGTTCAGAAGAACAAACTTTAGGTCACTGATGTGAACGCGAAATGTGAGGACATAGGCTAGATATTTTGTGTTTGCTCACTCCATCAGTCAGCAGAAGGCTTGCAAGCTGCTGTCGTGCAAGCAGTAGACTCTAAGTATATCACATACTTCATACTCTAAGGTTATTTTGTGAAATAAATAGATAAAATATCTCCATGTGGTTTTCATCACGAACTGATATCCGTTAGAGAACTATTGAAAACCTGGGAGAACTGGATAGTTGTTTTATCAGGGCGTGAGACATATCAAAAGTGTGTGACCACGACTCCATCAGAGACAGAACCCAGGATCTGCAGGTTCCGTGGAGAACACGTCACCATTCAGCCACTAGGTTGAAATTCAAGGGTTCCTGCTTCTGTCAATTCACGATACAACGCGACCACCTCCTAATGCCATCAACGAGGATTCCTCCTTACACGCCGACTTAGAACTTCAACAATCCTATCCCCAAGCATGCCATCAATGAGCACCAGATTGTTTTCTAGTTCGGAGGTTTGCAGGGACTGACTGGTTTCAAGGCGGTAATTCACAGCTAACCAGCACTCCCAGGTGTTCCAATGATTCTCCGATTGGTGTCAGTCCATGATGAATATCACCTAGAAACCGACCAGTGACTGCAAACAATCAAGCATATTGTTTAAAAACTACTCGAAAGTGATAAGCTGGACTTAACAGAAATGAAATTCCATTTTAATTCGTTTATTGATTGAGTCACAGTTAAACAATATTGCTTCCTGTAAACAATACTATTTCTCTCTGTGACACATCTAATAAACAAACTAGAATGAAATTACAATCTATCACACTGGCCAAGTTCTACTTCTGTATCGATAAGAGTGAATGTGTTTAGACATTGTAGTTTAGACCGCGGCGAGATTCGAACTAGCGACTACAGGGTTTCTGGTCCGGTGCTCTACCAACTGAGCTACCAGGCGCGGCTGCTGACCAGATTTGTATTTCAGTTCACCAAGGGTTTTGCCCAACTACCATGTATTAATACTAGTCTACGAAACCACGGTTATCTCACATTATTATTATTATTATTATTATTATTATTATTATTATTATTATTATTTGTGCCTTGGGTTCCTAATGGAACATAGGGCTTTAGTAGCACGTCTCCAGTGCGCTCTGTTCTCTGAGTTATCTCATATAGTCAGATGATAAGCAATATGATACTCCCCATCTCATCCTAATTCAGTTAGTATAAGTGTAAAACTTAGGCACTGTGGTCGAGTGTAACTCCATTTTAGTCTGTTTATTAGAAATATCACACAGTGAAACAGTAGCATTTACTGGATAACCTTTCGGACATAATTTATTGTCCATATTCATATCATATGGACAATAAATTATGTCCAAAACGTTATCCAGTAAATGCTACTGTTTCACTGTGTGATATTTCTAATAAACAGACTAAAATGTAACTAATTCAGTTAGATTTCGATTGGGATGAGAAATCCTGACTAGGCAGCCAGTATGAATATGATCAAGCGGTAGTAACGCATCACGAATTCACATGGTAGTTGGGCAAAACTCTTGGTGATTGAAGTGAAATAAAAGTCTAGTCAACAGTCGAGCTTCGCAGTTCAGTTGGTAGAGCGTCGGGCAGGAAAATCGGTGGTCGTTAGTACGAGGTCTAGTCACAGTCCGAATTTTCGTCTCACTTTCAATCATCACACAGTATGAATACTGGTCTCCCAAACCAGGCCTATCTCAGTCAAAATGATAAACATTGCAGTTCACTAATAAATATAAGAGACCAGATGAATAAAAATATCGTGAGATAAGATCTTAACTTGCTAAGAGTAGCTATCATAACATCCGATCTAATCCAATCATTGAAAGATATTTGAATTGTAATTGTGTGTATTCAGTAGGTATCACGAAACACAGTATGAACAGAATGCATATTACAGTTCCCTTAAATTCATTCCTGTGGAAGTGCTTAGATAGCTTTGAAAGTATATAAACACATCAATCAATCATTGTAATTGTAACAAGGTTGAAGTTGAAGGTCATGAAAAATTTAATTGGTATGGCTTCTACCATGCTTAGTAACTGGAGACACACAAATTTAGAGTATTGTGATGGGACTGTAAATAAAAGTAAATCCTGAGGTTTTTTCAATCTTATGCTCAGTATTTACTAGATGGGTGAGTATTTAACTTTTGATGGATTTCACTGTTCCTTTGCCTAACCATGCTGGAGATTGTTCGATGAAGCAATGATTGGCTCGCCGGGTCGTTGCACCTATATAACTATCTCCACATGAGCAGTTAAATTTATAGATGCACATGGATGTAGCTAGATTCGGAAGTCTGTCCTTGAACTACATTGGCATCATACAGAAAGTAGTAAATTTCAAATATAGTCTGATGGAAAAGAAAGTTAGATATAAACGTTTCTTTGGTACGATCTGAAGGCACTCTTCCCCAGCTTTTTTATTGTTACAGGCCTTACGAACTTCTCAAGACAATCATTCCCGTATAAGGATTTCTCTATTATTCTTATTTCATCGTTCAAAGTGTCAGCTGTGCAGATCTTACTAGCTCGAAACATCAATGTACGGATTGAGTTCTTTTTGTACGTAAGAGGGACAAATGATCGTAAATGTGTATACTGACTGACGAGATATACTGCATCTAGTACTGCCATCTGTTCGTTTTGATAGCAAAACATCCAGAAATGGCAGACATTCGTCTTTCTCTATTCCACACTTCTGGATCATTTTCGTGCAGAATGAAAGTATCATTCATGAGTCTGCAATAGAAGGAAAGTTTATCTCTTTCGCTACACAGTGGTCCATTTTCCAATTTGCCATAAACATGTCGGCTAGAAGAGAACCTGATGGTGAACCCATTGCCACACCTTCTATCTGACAGTAAATTTCTTTGTTACACTGAAATTTTACACTCATCGTACAACGAAGAAGCGGCTCTCGTAGGATTCTAAGTGGTGTACCTACCTCCATCTTGTTATTTTGCTATGTGAAACATGAATAAAATCAATTGTTTCCAAAAGAGGAACATTGGTAAACAAAGAAGAAATGTCCATAGAAATCATTGTTTCGTTTTTGACTTGAGATAAATACCAAAGTGTCCTTTAAGCTATACTCAGCCACCTTATGTTGTAGTGGCTTCATTATATCTGCTAGCCATCTTGCTACTTCATGGTACGGTTAACTGAACTTGTCGAAGATGGGATGAAAGAGTATGTTACGTTTATGAATTTTGGGCAATCCATACATTTTTGTCATATTTGTACCTATAGGCTTAATTCGTTCAGAAGTGTCCAGTGAGATTGTCCCACTAGTTAACTGTGCCTTCAATGTCTTTGAAAATTCCTTTTCTATTTTCCCGAATTCAATTAACCAATGTTGGTATCAAACATATAAACTATGCTGAATAATTTGTAAATGTAATTGCAAAGCCTGACGAGAATTTACCGAAAAAACATACTCGCGTCAAACTCTGTTTTCTAATTAAGGCACTTCACTGATACCCTTGTGAATATAAACGCTAGAATTATGAAGTGATATCAGATCATAATATGAAGTAAAACCTTTCAGTTTCAAAATTTGTAAGTATAATGACCAAAATACTCCCCAACATCTCACTTTATCAAGCTGTGCCAGCAAAGATGCCAAGCATAATGGTAGGAAGCACACATCAACCCATAAAAACATCCAAGCGGATGATAATGCCCTCCAAGAGGACTCGAACTATGCACCCACAACCTCAAACAACCAAAAAGTTATCCACTAAGTCACTTAGGCACGAGAGCACCTTTTGTGCAACGGGTATTAGCTACTATTATTTATCAACAATTGTACAGACGAAATTAAAGTTGGCTTCTCGAATTCTATCCAAACAATCATTATGATCCTCGGATTAGGCCACGATGCCCAACGTTATAATTTCTCTAGGAATATACTACTGGCGTAAAAATAACTTCAATTGCAACACCTGCAAGGATTGTGAAGTGATGGGTCTAGGACAAAAGTCCATTTACTTCTCTTACACTATCAATCATTTATACGACGACAGTCTACTAAGTATTAGATTCTGCTGGCACCATTCTAGCTTTCAAAGTAAAATGTGAGCCCCTTTAATATCTGATTACTCTAACTGTAAATGTCGTAAGATCAATTTCGTTCATTTCAGGAAACTAACCACTTTATACGAGATAACTAACGACATACTTCGATTAGTATTTCTTGTATCCAATACCAAGCGCTTAAATTGTGAAAACACTGGGTACATAGGACTAAACAACGCATCTCATCAATCACGTATAGACTTGTAAGCTAGGGTATGAACCAGATCCATTGCGTGATGGCTAACGAGACTACTTTACTTCTGATAGCTCGAAAAGTGAAGTGGAGTTCGAATCCATAATCCACTGAGTGAAGATCAAGTGCCTAAGTTGCTGTATTACAGGCTAGTGCATTCATTTAGGAAGTTTATATTGTGAAAAGCTTCACTACAAACTCCTTATTTTTAATAATTCCGTATAACAGTGGTATTTATCAACTTTGTTAGAAAAAACTCCTTTATTTATGTTAAACAGACAGGAAGCTCTTGACCTAGATTTCATGCTTCTCAGCACTCAACAGCAAGGCGTGTCTGCAGCCCCGACGGCACTGACGTCCTGTCTGGGATCAGGACCCGCGTCACCGGTGCTTGTAGTCGGAGTTGTTACCACTGAGCCAGTCAGACCTCGACTGACCTCCTGTAGGACTGAATTAGGCACACTGTTTGGCTACTGGAGGATAACCAACAAATTTTATCGATCACTGTGCAATGTGGGCACTAAGCTAGAAGACTAATCAGAATCAAGTAAAACAAAGAATAATTCAAACAGCTACGTATCATGATGCATAAAATGTTGGCTGATGAAACTCACCTGCCACCAGGAAGCACCATCAGTCCATTTGACTAATTCAATCTGATCTCCAACAGATAATCTCAAGGAAGACTGCTAGACGGTGGAAGAGGATCGCCGTCGTACGCTTTCCGTGCTATAGCAAAAGTTGAGTTCACTGGGGAATATTTGCTGTAGGCAGACCTGAAGATATACGTCGATTACGTTGTAAAGTGGCATTTGATAAATTGTTTTGGTCAGCTGCAAGCCAATGGTTGACAGAATTTAAGGTATCAGATAAGTGGGAAAAATCAAATGAGTCTGAAGTAGACAGTGAATTATTTCCGGGTGCGCAAGGAACACCTCCCATTGGCATATGAGGACGTCGACTACGTAATGTATTGCTCTGTGGAGGAAGTGGCGGTGGAGCATTCGACGGAATCCCATTGATATGTGGATTAGCTACACCACGCAGTGGAAGGTTGTGATTGGCTAGACAATTTTTGTGTGCAGCTCGATTTGTCTCTGCATGAAATATTAACATTAAATAAACCACGAATTATTTAGCATATTGAATACAATGTCAAGTATCTTTTATATAATTAATGTATAGTGGCTTGCAGAGGAATCCAGGACGCGCGTTTCACCCTATTTGGAACTCATCAGCCGGTAAAAGCAACAACATTGCCAAGTATTGTTGGAATATCTCGCTACAAGTTGCACAATTCCTGTATGAATATGCTTGATTTTAAAATGAATGAGAAGTTATAGTGAAAGCCAGTAATAAACTGAATTTGAAATTAAGCTAAAGTGATTGTTTAATACCAACCAGCCACCTTTGAAGGGACATATTATACACCTTGCCAGTTGATTTATACAGTCAGACTGCTTACAACAGAGGAATGCATGTAATTTTGAGCTGAATTCAATCCATTTAGACAATTAGTCACGTGGATAGACAAGATAGTCTAAATTGTAGGTAAAGCTAGTAGCTACTATCAGGAATGATGAAGTATGCGCAAAACACAAAACAATAATAATAAAAAAAAACAGTACCAAGGATATATCCGAATACTTCTACATAACATAATACGCGCACACAAAGCGTAGCTTATTTTGAAAGATGAAAGATAGACAGTAGGCAGAAAAACACCTTTATGTATGACAAAATTATCAATAGGCATAAATTTGTGTTCAGAAGATGAAACGAAAATAACCCAACAAAATAACACTTTCGTTTATATGTGGTGTGTTAACAACACGTGCCAGTTGAACAAGACAACGTGATTAGCGTTGTTATTTTCGACTGAAACAATTTCACGATAGTTCAAAAAAAGACGCAGTACAGGGTTTAAACAAATTGCACACAGTGGGAAATAGACAGAGAAAAGAAAGGAGCTAACCCCGAGAATTCATTATGACATCATTATCAACTGTGTAGTTGAAGATATGGGGATAATTTCAGAAAAATATTTACTTTCATTGGAATATGATAGCGTAGTTATGCAGTAAATTGAATATTCCAATATACTCAAAACTATACTGGATAGAGGAACAAATACTGAATGTATATGTCGGCAGGTAACTACAACGGATGAAAAATACACTAAGTGATTAAAAAGAAACACGAAACTTTAATATCACGCTACACTATCTACAGTTTTTTTCAAAAAAACAAAGTGGAAGCGGAGCGAAGGAAGAAATAGCTTCAGTTAATACCATCATCACTGTTATTGATCAACGAAATATTTGTTCGAGAAAAATCTAAAACATCAAGCAATTCATGCAACTATAATGTCTGGAAAAGATGAAAAAGTTGTGAATCATTTTGACGATCTGAGATGCGTGATGTTTGAAGGTAAATTTAAAATTTTGACCGTAGCCGGAGTTTAACCAACCACCACGTTTCCCGCCCGACGCTCTACCAACTGAGCTACAAAGTTCGACTCCCCACCAGGTTTTTATTTCACTTCAATCACCAAGAGTTTTGCCCAACTACCATGTGAATTCGTGATGCGTTACTACCGCTTGATCATATTCATACTGGCTGCCTAGTCAGGATTTCTCATCCCAATCGAAATCTAACGGATCGAATCTAGGACCTTCAGGTTCTGTGGCCAGCACATCAACATTGAGGCAGTTGGTTGATCCAAATTCCCTACTTCTGTCAGTTCATGATATAGTGCGACCTACATCCGATGTGGTTGTTGAGTAACTGTCCTCATTTTCGATTTGGTCGACTCCAATGGTCAGGAATTCTTATTGGGACTTCAGGGATCAACCTTTCGAAGCTAGTCACTAATGAGGGCTAGATTAAGTCTATCTGGAGGTTTGCGTGGATTTATTGCTTGGTTTGTCAAAATTGTCACATTGCTGTCAACTGTCTCTGTTGCATACAACTGCCCCATGATCAGAGCAGCTAGTACTCCATAATTGGTTTCAGTAGAGGTTATCGCATCCCAAATTTTTGAGTGCATAAAACTACACTTGTTGTATGGATTGAGAGACCTTCCTTAGAGAATACAATGTGAAAATCATATTGAGCTTAGAAAAACACAGATAGAGATGGAAAATACCAAAGCAAACTGTGATATACAGCATGATCACCTGATTCATGGACAAAGAATACAGTGCGGCTCGTAAGCCAGTATCAAATTGATTAATCATTTTTTAAAAGCATGGAGTATTGGAAAAGTGGGTTATCCGTTACACTAAGACAAAAATGATTTTAAAGTCAATGAATCCACTAATAAAGACATGAAATGTATGTGGTTGACGAATTTACAAGATATTCCCCATTTTTCAAACTAAAAACTAACACTTTTTTTATATGAACACACTAAATAAATTAGTGAAAACAAAAATTATTGAATGCCACTAACTACAGAATACTCTTACTAATAAATATACTAACCTCGACAACGATAACCTTGGAAAAATATTCCAGTGATTAGTTTATTACATATAGAACAGTAAGTTGGCTGTTTAAATGTAAACATTTCGAAGTTGTAACCTCGATCTTTCGCTCCAGGTGGACAAAGATTAGATCTAGAAAAAACAATAGGAAAGCACTTCAATAAATCTATACAAACAAAGTACTACATAGGTCGAATGATAATGTCAGAATGGTTCAGCTTACCCACATACATATATAAAATATTATTTATACTGCGCGATGATTGAAGGTGAAATGAAAATTTGGACTGTAGCCAGATTTGAACCAGCCACCACTAGGTTTCCGGCCCCATACTCTACCAACAGAGCTGTGAGGTCCAACAACCCAGCAGATTTTTATTTCAATTCAGTCACCAAACTATGGCTACTTCAGATAGTCAAAATAATAATCAATATGCTGCTCCCCATCTCATTCTAATTCAGTTAGATTTCGATTGGGATGAGAAATCCTGACTAGGCAGCCAGTATGAATATGATCAAGCGGTAGTAACGCATCACGAATTCACATGGTAGTTGGGCAAAACTCTTGGTGATTGAAGTGAAATAAAAACCTGGTGGGGAGTCGAACTTTGTAGCTCAGTTGGTAGAGCGTCGGGCGGGAAACGTGGTGGTTGGTTAAACTCCGGCTACGGTCAAAATTTTAAATTTACCTTCAGTCATCACCCAGTATAAATACTACTCTGTCAAACTACTGCTGTCGCAGATAGTCAAATTAAATAACTTATTTATGCTTAGTATCAGTTTCATTTACAAAACAGGCAATAGTCGAAAGTATTTGTAGCTCAGGTGGGTAGTCTTAGTTGTATTGTATTCTCTGAGCTGGGTTGTTTAATCGTGTTAATAGCCAATTTGGTGTTCATTTACACGAAGGCAGACAGAGAGCTACCCCTTCGTCCAATGTGGTGCTGGCTACAGTTATTGCGGTTGATTTGTAAATGATATTCGGTTTGTCTTTGGTTGTTGCATCCCTTGATCTGCATAATAGGGTTTCGAGGGAATTTGTTGGTTTATGAGCCACACCAATTCCAAGTGGTTTCAGTAATTTTGTTGTGATTTCTGATAGATTCTTTATGTGCTGTAGGATGATGCGTTCGTTGATTTCTGTGTATGACTTTGTAGTTGATGATGTGTGAGATAGGCATCTTCTGATGAAGTTTCGTGGTTAGCCGTTCTTCTTTAGGATGGACATCAAGTAATTTTCTTCATTCCTCTGTGAAGTTGTTGTACTCTTTTGAATAGAGTCTGCAAGCAACTAATTTTATGCGTTGTTGCTACTGTAGTTGAGGATTTGATCAGTGTGTGTTGGCTTCCAGCATTTGTCCTACTGACTAAAACATCCCGAAATGGTAGTTGGTTGTTTGACTCCTTCTCTATTGTGAATTTGATGTCGTTGATCAAATTATGAGTGTTCTCTATATCGTCCTCAATGATGAAAGTGTCATCCATATAGCGAAAAATCCAAATTTTTGGTTTCATCACAGTTAGAATGATGGCTTCCAGTCTCTGCATCACTGTTTCTGTAATTGGTCTGATTATCGGTGATCCCAATGGAGTTTCGGTCGTTGAATTGGAAGTATGCTGTCAGGTAAAGGTCGATGAATTCTATCAGACTTGAACATTTAAGTTTTGTGCGCTCTGAAAGACTTGTATCTTCAGTGAGCCGGAGGGACATAGTTTCTTGGGCCAATTGTGGTTCGATGGAAGTGTACAATGCCGTGATATCGAAGGATACCATTAATTCGTCGTTTTCTACATTATTGCTTTTGATCTTTTCTAAGAATTCTGTTGGTGATTTGATCGAATGTCCACATGAATGAACCAGATGTTTCAGTTTTCTCAGAAGTTCTCTTGATATGTTGTATGTTGGAGTTTCCGGAAGTGAGACTATTGGTCGTAGAGGGATGTCTGGTTTGTGAAGTTTTGGTCTACCGTAGAATCGAGGAAGGATAGGTCCATTCGATTTCATTCGCCGTTTGTCTTGTTTTGTTATTTCTCTTGCTTTGATGAGTTTGTTCAAAGTTTTATTGATCTGGTTGTCGGACTTTTGAATAGGGTTGGTTTCAAGTGGTTGATATACATTTTCATCACGACCAAACAACCTAGCTCAGAGAACACAATGCAACGAAGAGAAAACAGGTAAATTCATTCTGATAGGTTACAGAATTCAGCAGAGAAATTGATAGGTTTAGATGACTTAAGAGACTACCATCTTGAATATAAAGTAAAATTGCACTTTAGTACAATATTCCTCGTGGACCAAACGATTAAAGCCATTTTATATGATTCTTCACACTATTTGAGAGTAAGAATACCAGAAGAGCAACGATGCTGGGAGTAGGTAGGATAGTTCACCAGGCTTATGAATGATAAAATGAAGTTGGTAAAAGTAACCAATCCAAGCCGCAGGAGGATGCAAATACCTATTTTTAACGGACCACTGCGAGGCAGCCAACGTCATGTTGTAAGTACTCAGTGCTGACCATCTTTTATCAGTATCTCATCTCAATGAGCCACACTTGATATTGCATAATTGCAGGTATTCGACAAAAAGACCTATACATATCCAGCACTCAGAACCAGCAAAGACAAAGAATTAGTTACCATCCAGTAACCCGCGAATACACTTCATTAGGTTGGAACAGGGGTCAAATATGACCTTAATAGTTCAAAGGTAACGTGCGACATATAGACAAACAAAAACAACGTAGAACCCCACAAACAAGTGTATTCGCCGTTCAACTCGCCACACTCCACAGTAGCACTGAAAGAATAAGTGATCAGGTAAATACCAATAGTGAAGCAGACAAAGGCGTATTGCAGGAAAAGGAATTTCAAAATGAAGTTTAGTGAAGATGTTCAAGCTTCAGAAGCCGTTAAAGAGTGAAAACATTTGCATCATTGTGACTGAGTTTCAGCAAGTCAGAGGCCTCATGCATTGGTGGCACGTCTTCATCTGGTCACCCTGAGCCTTATTCTAGCCTAATTCAACTTCTTATATCATCGTATGTTGAGGCACGGGGTTGCTCGGAATGCGCAACACATGCTAAAGTCACCCTAGTCACTGAAGGTTAACACCCTTACCAGCCAACTTCCCTGTCTTGTCTAACACCTTTCGCGTGACCTCAACATACTTCACACGATAATTCCACCATAAGCAAGCAATGTTGTAAAGACACCTATAGTCAAAAATGAGTAATCTCTTTATATCTGTCAGTTGCTTACAAACATCCAATTTAGATACACTCACTATAATGAAGACATGGAATAAAATAACAATGAAACAAAGAATACATCAAAGTTCTGATTTTTCGGTATACCACTGGGTTTCTTCACAACCTTGTTAACCTATTTAGTTAGGAATAAATTAAGCATTTCATTGTAAGAAGCGGTCACTACCAATTATATAACTTAAGATGGTATGATGGAGATAAAACTTTCAAACGATGCGAAATACATTCGATTCCAGTAGGAGAAAAATTAACAACACAGTGTATACTTACAGTGCAGCCATTGTAGCTTTCATCCAAGATGTACGTAATTCTTCAGATTTTGTGAAAAATGTAAGATTCGGTGAATCTCTGTCACCCAGAATAGGCAAAGTAAACCCATAGGAATACTAAGGGGGGAAAACAGCAATAAAAAAGTAGAGACATTAAACGATTAGGATATAAAAATGAATGTAATGAAGGAGAAAATCAAACAGCAACAAAAACATTTAAAAAAGAATTAGAAAAATTCCTCATTATTTTAAGAAAAACACTGGGAAATGAGAATGAATTATAAAAATACTGAAACACTACATTGTCTAGTAGTTGTGACGTGCACGCAAAAATAAAAAATAATGACAGAATTCCTATTTCCACATTAAAATGAACATCAATGGAACTCGTGAACTTACAAAGTAAAATACAAGTTATGTAGCAGACAAACAACTACAGTTGCAAAAAAGTATACGTTCTAACTTTGAATGCTAAAAAACAATAAATCAACTATGGAAGAAGTTCAGCTAACGAGCACTACATGATTTCGATATTCTGACTTATATCGACTTGTAATCGAGACGTTTATGGTTGATCGTTCGGTTTTTTGTAGAGAGAACGACAGAAAATATTCTATAAATCTCAATCAGTTTGCTAAACTTCCAAAATATCTTCGCATCGATGTTAATAAGGAATGTGATTATAAAATCGTCGGACCAATTAGGATTCGCATAATAAAATTACGAATCCGTTTAATTTTCTTCTCTATGGCAATCGTATAAATTAGCTGTCCTATGGTGTTCAAATGTTTACATCCAGTGTTGTTAATAGGAACGAATTGTTTAGGATCACTTTAAAATATGATAAGAACTATGCTACATATGCAAGAGTGAACATGAGGTACCCCAGTAACTTAGTAAAACTCACTTGACAAGGCTACCTCCTCCGTTTCGGTTAGGTAGTCAATGAACAACGACAATATATGTGAGGTTTAAGTCTATTTTAAAGATAGACAGTCGAATGGGAGAGTATGAAGTCGGTTGGAGGAGATCAATATCAATTCATGTACAGAAATAATAAATGAAATACATTCTGACAGTTATTTACTGTCGTGATGTTAAGTGTGGAAAAAGTGAAAACATGGTTACACGAAGCTATTAACTGTTGATTTTCAATTTAGAAGTTTGTGGGGATTTGTTGATTTCAATTAGGTATTCATTGCAGACTAAAATTTGTTGGAGAATCATTAGAAACTTGGAACCAATAGACAGCCATTTCCTCCTAGTATGGGGCTGTTTACGAGTAAGCAACAATGACAGGTAGGAAAATGTGGACTATTAGATGATAAGTCTCACACTAAGGTCAAACAGGTGTCCAGTGCACCTTCGTTTCTAATAGTTCTACAACTGATGTTACTCCATGGAGAATACCAACTTGAAAACTAGTGAGTTTGTTGTAATTCTTATTACCTTTTGGCTAAATTCACTGGCAAAACTAATGGTTCACGCTCATTGCTGTCAGATGCGCTGGAGAAGCATGTCCATCCAGTGGTGATGAGTGCAACTTCACCTAAGTATTACTACATATATATATATATATATATATATATATATATATATATATATATATATATATATATATATATATATAACCCAGTTTCATTATTGCTTGAGTACCTACTTTATCATATGACAATAAGTATTGATTCATATCTTGTTTTAATTTTTTGTATAGCGTACACGCCAAACAGCATTCACCCTGCTGTAAACTTGAATTAACCTGAAATTCCTGTAGTCAATTTACGGTCACTGTAAGTAACATAACACTACTAATTGCACATAACAATCACCAGATTAATTGTTAGAATAAAGGAGTACTACAATTAGACAAATTTCTATCAATGAAACTCAGTGAGACTGACAACTGACATACACTAAATTAACGAAAAACCTGTAATAGTATTTTCATGAAAGTTAAACAGGTGAGATCATTTTAACTATTAAAAAAGCAAAACAATTAAACCACCTTTATAAATAATATTAGATTCAGGAAAATATCACACTAACCTACAAAAGTTTGTAGTTGTCCGATGGCACTTATCAGACACCGATGAACGAAAAGAAAGAGGTTGGAGGTTAAACTTTTCACAAAACCAAAATGCGTAGTATAATTATCTTCAAAGTCTAACATATGAGACAGTTATGAAGGGAACCAATTATTAAACACTCATTCTTTTGATGTCTTGCTATGCAGGGTTGAACCGCTCGACCACTGTTGGGAGATGGGCTCCTATGCGGATGCCTCAATACTACCAGACATTCATGATGCTATATTCATTCTGGTGACTAGCGGTGGAATCCAGGATTTGTGTCTCGTCCTATTTGGGAATCGTCAGCAGGATGTACGTGCATTCCAGTGAGTGATGTTGTGCCCTAGGTTACTTGTGATTTCCCGTTGCCATACAGAGCCGAATCACTCAACCTCTAGTGGGTGGCGCTTCGGTGTTTGAAGCGGTGGGTACTAGGCTCGAATCCCAGTGGGAATAACATCACTCACTAAGGTCCACGTATATCCTGCTGACGATTCCCAAATAAAAAGGAAACGTGCATCCTGGACTCTATTGCTAGTCACCAAGATGAATAAAAACTCTCGTTTTTAGGTTTTCAATTTTTTATCAATTCGTTGAAAATGTCTAACTCATATTTTGACAGGCTTAAATGAGTTATTTCACTGAGTAAACGCATATAACTCATTCCAATTGTTAAGAATAATACAATACTCAGTACAGTAGATGGTATCGCAAAACTCAGTAACTGTTCTTTTTCTTAAAAAATCGAACAAGTGTAGCTAGTTACCTATCATAGTGAGGCATCAAGTTGGTATTCATCATGGAATGAAATCAGTTGAAGAACAATTGAAAAAATGGAGCACTGAGTAACTATTTCGTCCTAGTATGGGACTCCTTAGCAGTACGCACCCTTAACCCCACCGGGAACCGACACCAGGACTTCTAGGCTCCGTAAACAGAATGTCACTACTGAACCACCGAGTTAGAGTTCAATGATCCATATATTCCTACTTCCCCGTGCTGGTTCACCATACAGTGCAACCGTCATCCAATGTCACCGTTGAGTATTTGTATTCACATCCGAATGGTTCGCCCATCGTCACGACTTCTCATTAGAACCTCAGGAAATCTCATTTTGAAGCAAGTCACTAATCTGTACTGGATAGTAATTTAATTTGAAGATTAGTGTGGGATTTGTCGATTGAATATCAACTTGAAATGATTAAATCCCCACAAATTTCCAAATTGAATTAACAGGAGATAGTTATTTTTCAGTCGACAAAATGTGACTTCACATGGAGTTACTCTCGCTTCAAATAGCCGAGGTGTAACATGCCGACATTCGAATATCAAGGGGTATATGAAGACCACACAAATACTACAGGCATATATTCGTACTCAATGATAAAAAAGATGGAATTCGAGTCAAACACAGGTTAAAAATAGTATTCATCATGGAATGACATCAGTTGGGGTACCAGTGAAAATTTGGGAGCACTGAATAGCTGTTTCGTCCTAGTATAGGACTCCTTGAATGATGTCAGTTCATGATGAATACTACTTTTAAAATAAAAAATCCCCATTCATCTCGAAAATACAGGATAAAAATATAGATAACTGAGGAACACCTGTTTGTTATAGGGAAAAAACAAGAACTGGAAGGTATTTCATTAAACTTTTAAGGTTTCATACCGGTTGTTAATGCTAAATAAATAAATAAATGTATTTTTGAGATGAATAGTGCTCATTAGTGACTTGCTTCCAGATGGATGTCAGGAAGTTCAATTGAGATGCCGTGACCTGTGGGGTCAACCAGTCGGAAGTGAAGTGGATGCTAACTGAAGACCTTGGGTGACAGTCGCGCTATGTCGTGAATTGACAGAAGTTGGAAATTGTGAACCACTGGAACCGACTCAGTGGTTGGATGGTTAACGCGTTCGCCGTGAGACCCGAAGGTCCTGAGTTCGACCCTAGCCGGGTCGTGGGTGCGTACTGCTAGGGAGTCCCATACTAAGACGAAACGGCTGTCCAGTGCTCCAAGATTTTCAATGGTTCCCCAACTGATGTTAGTCCATGATGAATACTACTTCTAAAATAAATAAATGATAACGTAATTATCTGGTTAACTTTTTGACAAAAGTACAGAACTTCACCCTACATTTTGATCAGAGACGAATTAACTCACAACGTTTTACTTGATTCATATTTTGGAATTATCCAACTTTTTTCTCCCTACCTTTCAATGATTGGAATATTTGGATCCTAATGCTGTTTCCATTATTGTGAGGTTTGTACACCTGGTGCTCACTGACCACACAAACCACTATGAAAAGCTTAATTTGATCATAGATATACAGACATGTGTATACCACTAGAATGAAGCCTGAGAAAGACTGACTTATTGGAGTACTGGTCTACCGGTTGAGGCATACGACCGCAAGCAGTGCGACACGGTTACAAACCCCTCACCCCTCCAACAACTATAGTCTAGGCAGATACTGGTCCTCAGCACAATGAATATGACTCATCGCCTACTGCACGAACACGAACGTGGTTGGTAAGCCACATTTCCGTTTTTCATTAAAGATTTTTTAGATCAAGATATTATTCACCCACATCTCTTCGCGTGATTTTAACAAAAATAGACACTTTAACATTGCCAACTAAGCTGAATTTCCTTCTGTCTATCGTTCCAAGGATACTAACTTAACAATTCTGTAAGTTCTCGATGAACACTTTGAATACAAAATGAAGAAGACTATACAGTCTCACAATAAGAAGTCATAGTAAAATCCATAAAAGTATCGACTTTTCCCTTGACTCTACAGCGGTTACTGAAACAAGAGGAGTATAGGCTCATACAGCATTAATTACGCAGTATGCCTTATGTGATGAACAAAGATGAACGCACCTTAGTGACTAGCTGTGACTGACTGACAAAATCAATGTAAAACCTCGCACGCACACAGGTGCATTGGTACAAGTTGCCACTCTTTACAGTATTACACAAAGAACGGATGGATAGAAAAGGAGTCATATGAAAGTAGATCAACCAGTATGAGAGAATAAACAATCTGAGAATATAGGTTAGCGCGAATATTCAAGTCTTAGATGTCAGAGAGTGAATAAATCTGCGTCATTGTGACCGATTTTCAGCCATGTCACCAAGAGTCCTTAACCACTGATTCCTTTCGTCTCAGAGACCCTAACCAACCAGTCTAGATCAACCCACACGACTTAGAACAACGGTCAGAGACTTCATTAACTGGTAACGGGTCTTAGTCTGGCCACCTTGGACCTTCTTCCAACTTCCCCCAGCAGTGACTAGCCGTGAAATCCAGGATGCGTGTTTCATTATTTTCGGGACTTTTCGGTTGGATGTACCTGGTCCCCAGTGAGAGACGTTGTTTCCACGTGCTATTCCCAGTACCACTCGCTTCGAATGCCAAAGCGTTATTCACTGGGTTACTGGGGCACAGGAGCAACCTTTTTTGCAACGGGTATCAGTTGTTATTTATTTTTACTTGTAATTTCTTGCTACAATACAACATGATGAATATTTGGCAGTATCCAGGAGCCCACGTAGGAGTCCATCTGCTAAACGAGATCAAGTTAATCGGCCTTGAATAGGAATAGGAGACTACAAGTATCAAACAACATCTGATATGTTTATGGCTCATCTCGAACAAACACATCTGAACTCTTGACATCAAAAAAACGTCATATTATCGCAGGTACTTTCATTGCTTGTGATTATATGAATCATGTGTCAAAGTTGTTTGATACCTTCAACCACGCTCATCCAGATATGAATTTTAAAATGGAATACGAAAGCGAGAACAGGTTCAATGTTTTGGATATGAGTATAAGATGTGATGGCACAGTTGAGAAAACTATCCATAGGAAGAATACGTAGATTGGTTAGGACCTTCCGTACAATAGTTTTTGTCCCACAAGCCATAAGCAGGGCTTAGTCAGGACGTTTTTCACTAGAATTGGATCGCTTTGCTCAAAAGACGAATACGAAGAAGAATATGCTGTTATTGAGAAAAGACCCTTCTAGATAATGGATATCCGAAGAAATGAATCATGAAGTATAGAAAATAATTCATTGAGACCCAAAAACCAAACTATTGAGAGGAAACCTGTTTTCCTTCGTCTAGTATTCAAGTATGATAAGACATCTGAAATAATAGACCGAAAACCAAAAGCAGCACTGAGAAGGAGCTTCCCTGCTGCCAGACTGATCTCATTTCGCGGCACAGTATCCTCAGCAACACATTTGAAAGTGGACAAATACTCAGATTACATCACTTTCAACTGTGCATATCAAAATACCTGTGCTTGTGGAAGCAAGTGTATAGGAAGGACCACAAAAAGGGGGGCTACTCAACTTGTGTCTGAATGGTAACAAGGTCTTTGACAGTGCAACCGTCAGGCACTTGATGGAAACAGGAAATCAAACAGATGTTTCTCAGTCCTTCAGGATAATCAACAAACAAATAACGTCATATTTGTTAATTACTTGCTGACTGTTAATCATCGAGCCCAACATTTTTCTAGTTTTTTCACACACTTAACCAAATAGCTCTTTAACAACCCCTTTCTTTTACACCACTGTCTGTTTGTTTTCCCCACAACCCCAGAATTCTCCATCTCATCATACATAAATTGCCAGTGATTTCCATTATGACTTATGATTATTAATGCCGTTTCCTCGACTCATTACCTTATTGTTAATCGTGAATTTAGAAACTTCATTTGTTTCAACATATTTCAAGTATATTATGTCATTATTATTACTAACATTTCATTCGAATTGTAGGCTGTTTGTAGCTGCTGAAAGGCAATGAAGTAAAACGAGCTTCTTCTATTCTGTAAATGTCTTTGTTCTTGTTTTATTCAAGCAAATACACTAGTATGATATATTCTCAGACAGTAAGCAATAACCACCATCATTTTGTATCAGAGTGTACCTACAACTTCTTACAAAGTCAAGCAATACAGAGAATGAAAACAAAAGCAGCTGCAATAACATTAAAGAACTGAAGCATCGCGTAACAAACTGAATAGCGTTTCAGAATACAGACAACTGAATTCAAACCTATTGGTTCAAGAATGACTAGGTTCTCAGTTCGACTATAGAGAGGCGTTATTAACTAGGTTAAAAAAGGGAAAAGCTGTCAACTGGTCCCTAGATTTAGTTGTCCTCTAGTGTTTATAATACAATCCAGTTTCAAATCAATTTCCAAACAACACTAAGCTAACCATCCAACTTGCTAAAATAAAATCGGTGAAAATTTTAAGCAGCTGAAAACCTTGTTCTTTCTCTTTTTTCCTTTTAAAAGGATGCTTTATTTTAGGCAAATAAATAAAGACTATGTCTACAATCATTGAAGTTCACATGCAAAAGATTTTTACTGAGAATAATCCACGCGAACACTAGCAATAACATTTAAAGGAACACTATGTGATGTTGTAACTATTCGACATGAATAAAATACTCAATACAAGAATTTTGATTTAAAACGGAACACAAGAAAAGTTAGAGTTAAGAAATAAAACACTTTCACAATTTCTTTTGACTCCACAAAATGTTAATACAGACGACGGGAAGTAGGTAAAAAGTGGTAAGAAAAAAATAGTAATGATGTAGTAAAATACTTACAGCTGTTTAAATAAGTGGATATATATCGTTAATGAAATAATCATGCACAAAATCAGCCCGAATGTTAGATCCACTGTGTTTGTGTGCAGATCAACTGAATAACTGAAGTGTTAGTAAATAAATAGATGTAGAGTTTCCAACGAAAACGATGGATCACTGAATGTGATTGTAAGTTTGTATTGAGTGAGACTGTGTGAATGTTAGCCAATCCGGACAACTGATTACTACTTTAGTGCACCATGTTAAAGTGCAGTAACAGCAAAGCAGATGAAGCCATAGAGTGACTAACCCAACCTATGAAAATTATCTATGACATAGTTAATAACTGCTGACTTGAATCATACAAATTTTGAGACGTAACTGAAATAGAAAATTGCTAGTTGTAGGTGATACGCTTTGAAATCGATTGCTGAGATGAAGTAGCATTACTTTCTACCTATATATTTCTTTGGACGTACAGACACAATGCCCGTTTTCCATTTATGAGAGTACTTCAGTGTTATTATTTCATTACCAACTAGTCTCGGTTAACAAATACTTTCAATTCCGTTGGACGAAAGGCAATAAGGTAAGACAGGCAAGTCAGTTGATGAGGTTGTGAACCTTAGTCGACCAAGGTGGCTTGAACACGCGTCGCACGTACCGTGCAATCGCCTACAAGGGGAAGTTGGACTAGGTTGGAAAAGGGTTCGTGATTGCCAGACTAAGACCCGTTACCAGTTAATGAAGTCTCTGACCGTTGTTCTAAGTCGTGTGGGTTGATCTAGACTGGTTGGTTAGGGTCTCTGAGACGAAAGGAATCAGTGGTTAAGGACTCTTGGTGACATGGCTGAAAATCGGTCACAATGACGCAGATTTATTCACTCTCTGACATCTAAGACTTGAATATTCGCGCTAACCTATATTCTCAGATTGTTTATTCTCTCATACTGGTTGATCTACTTTCATATGACTCCTTTTCTATCCATCCGTTCTTTGTGTAATACTGTAAAGAGTGGCAACTTGTACCAATGCACCTGTGTGCGTGCGAGGTTTTACATTGATTTTGTCAGTCTATCAGTCAGATACTACTGAAAGAGTACGCACATCAAATTATCAATTTTCCCAATCATTAAGTTATTAGTAGATCTTAATATAATCCCAGCATGTTTAGACTAGGTGGTCAACCTCTTCCAAGACACTCTTAACAACTATGGACTAGATATTTATAATAAAAGTCAGTTATTAGATTCGAAAACCGAATTATCAGTAATAGAAAAACAAACGAAACGCACTCACCCACCTTGTTTACATCCAACAATGAACCACAGTTATTTTGTGAGGGCTAGTGACATTACCTGACTATCCAATCCCCGGTAGGTGGGGAGGGATTCCGACACAACTCACTGGTTCATAATCATCTCATTAATATAGGTGTAAAACTTGGGCACTGTGGTAGAATTTAGTTCCATATTAGATTTGTTCATCTGATTCATAACACACAGTGATCTAGTATTATTTACTTGATGACGTTTCGAGGATAAATTATTGCTCATAATCATATCATAGTCATCTCCCTAAACCGCTAAGTCAAAGATCCGTTACCAATAATACATCACAAATACTTTGTAATGAGTTCAATTACAATCACTAAGATTCCCCAATCAATATTATTTTATGACCTAAAACTTGAAATGTAACTTAAAACGCCAAGACAGAAATCCTTTGGTCGTCACGCTATCACTTGACTGAATTGAAAATCAACTATTTCACATTATACGGAGATGGTGATGAGGATTAAATTGTGGAAGAAAACTGGAGGCGTGGGGGATGGTGATGTATTTAAAACACCCGGCAACTCAATAAATGCACTTCTCATTTGCCAACCATTACCATTGGAAGAAAACTATCTATGATAATTCAAAGTGAGAACATGAGATACGATATCAACTAGGCACATCTGGCAACACAATATTTACATGTCCCCCTTCAAATATTAAACAAAACATACATTTGATCCTAGAATGGACCAAGGGTCACATTAATTTTTCGGTTTCCAAATTGTAATTTAACAGTCCAGTATTACACACTCCTAAAGTAAGAACAACCAATCAGTCCGACTGATATTTGTTCGTCAGTACCAACAAATGAAATCTTGAAAATCATCGCCTATCAAAGGTTGAAAACTATAAGCTAAGAATTTTGCGACTAAGTTCTATACAGTTTCCTGTTACGATCGTTGAACCAAACAAGTGTTCACAAATAAAATACTACGAAATCTTCAGAGTAATAACTACTAATTTGAATAAGCACAAAAATAATCTCTTTTTCCTTAAAAAACAACAATATATTACTGTTACTACTGTTAACAATTACAGCCAAGTTGAACTTACTCCCTTCTTATTTGGCAGAGTTACCCTTTGAAACTGACCGTTCACAACATGATAAGCAAACATGAACGTAAAACTGTCCCCCTGGATACAATAAAAAAAAAGAAGTCGAAATGATTATTGTACGATCAGTGACAAAAAACGAGTTATAGAAAAGGAGTTTAGATGGTAACACCCACAAAGCATAGGGAATTAAATGAGTATTCATCGACACACACAGGCTTCATAAGATGATAGTATCTCACATCTGAAGATTTGTTCCGTTAAGTACACCAGTTTTGTGAAGCTGTACATCTTCAGTAAGTGGTAAAGTTGACAAGCACTTCCTTAAAATTACGAATACGATAAAGTAGAATTACCATGAAAATGCTATCGTCTATAAAGTCAATGGCAGCTGGCTAGAGATTCATGGCGAGTCTCTGAGGTAATACGCATCACGGTGTACGGTAAGTTGAGACAATATAATGGAGCGCTTTGCTCACTATTATTTGAAAGGTTTCTACTATTAGGAAACATCAGGTAATTAACAGTGTAACAACAATCACTGGTTGATCCCTTGATGTGAGAAGGAAAAACCTCTCTGACACCAGGTTTAAACTGCACAGCATGAAGGCGGAGTAAACGAAAGTAGGGCCACTCATCTTAAATTAAAACGAAACATGATAGTCTCTAGTTCTTAGGGTAAAATAAAAATAAGAAGATCCCACTTAAAGAGAGCTACGTCAATTCAGAATTATATATTTCTCTTTTGAAAATAAATGAAGAAACCGTGAAGATTCATTCAATGAAAGTCCATCAGAACAACCAGTGAGATCATAAACCATTAAGAGGCATGTGTATAGTGTTTGTACAAAATGCTTCATCGACACATCTGGTAACCATTTTTAACTTGCACACTTGGTGAGAACACTCTGATAAAAGTTAACTACTCATTTAAATACGTGTATTAGTGCCAGGGTGTGTACTACACTGGTATAAAGCACTGAGATCACACAAAATGGGTGGATTAGCAAGCAAACATTTAGGGGTTACTAAAACTTTTTTAAAGTTACCTAAATCCAGTCTATCTTGAATAGCCGGGACAGTTTAACTGCCTAACTTTAATTTCAATCGACTAATTTGACATTTTGTTTTTGGGCGGTAAAAAATATTTTAAGCGTCGTCTTGATACAGCGTCAGTACATTGATTAATCACTGGAAAGTAACCAACTTCATATTGTCTAGTCCTAAGTCCTGATGGAATTCTACCGACCATTTTTGCAATGTGGCCTCTAGGCTAGTTGACTCAATATCACGATGTCTTTCGACGGATGTTAATTGGGTGGAGCAGGAAGCCCTTCTGAATCTAAGTTTCGTAATTTTCGGCACTCGTCAGCAAGGCGTATCTGCAACCTCTACGGAACTTATGTCCCGCTTGAGATTCGAACTCGCGTTACCCAGTGCTGCAATCAGAGCTAATCGGACCGCGACTGGCCTCTTGTAGGACTAGATTAGGCACACTGATTGGTCACTGGGGAGTAACGAACGTTACATTGTCCAATCCTAAGCGCTGATTGAGTTCTACCGATCATTGATGCGATGTCACCACCAGGCTAGTTGACTCAACACCACGATGTACTCTTCTTTAGAGTCACAGATAAGTATTTAATATTGCATTCATTGTGATGTCCAAGGCGCTGAGGTGGTAAATTATATTTCATGTGAATATCTCACATGTAAATTAACTCGATCACACTTTCGAAAATATTCCCGCAATCTGATAAATTACTTGAAGTCTACCTCTACTTGAATTACATAAACGAAACAAGATATGCTATAAGGCTGAACAAGAAACTATCGCTTCCTACTAGCTTTTTTCTTTCTGAATATTATAGTACGAAGTCTAGTACACAAAATAGGTGCCTTCAACCTTTTTACAGTCCATCTATCAGTCAGGATAACTTCATACTTTATGTGTAAAAGGCCACGCAAACATATGATTGACAGTCTTCAGTTGTTACCTTCACAATTTAGGGGGGAAATGTCAATAAGTGATATTTTTTTATGGAGTGGTTGAATACATACACACACACACACATACATACATACATACATACATACATACATACATACATACATATACACACACACACATACATACATACATACATACAGTCCAAGAAGACTAATTTATGTAGCTCTTTTTCACAGTATGGTAATGTTAAATTACACTGTCTATAATGTTCTTATGCATACACTTTTACATGAAATAAAACACATATTCAAATGCTTTTTTTTAATCAAAATAGATGTAGGGATTTTAACAAATAAAATAGGAAAAAGAACCGAAGTGTTGAAGTGCAAATAACCTTGTGACAATGTAGAACTGATGGTGAAATAATGTTCGACTGTCGATAATACAGTTTGCAAGGGTAGACATGTAATCGGTTCAATACGAATAAGTAACTTCATCTGTCAAATAATTCCTTTCCCCAAATGTTCACAGTAAAGGCAGAATACTCGATCATATATTTAGGAAACTATGCGCGACATTTCAATTCTTTCTCAGAGAGAGAAAAAAAAGATTTTATGCAGTGACTTATGTAGAGAAAGAAGGAATACTACCCAGAGTATAATAACTACACCTATCCTATACTTGTTAAATATTGTAACTAAAATTCAGGTAGTTTAATTTATAAAATTAGTAGTGCTACCCAAGTGTTGAACTCATTCTCTTTTTGTGTCTTGGTCAAGTGACTCCTGTGGTCACATGATACAGAAGTGTATTTTCGTAATAATGCTGTTTAGCATTAAAACAGGTTACCAGAATGGTACAATATAGACGAAATGAAATATTTTTAAGATGAATGGGGATTTTTTAATTTAGAAGTAGTATTCATCATGAACTGACGTCAGTTAGGGAACCATTGGAAACGCGTTCGCCGTGAAACCTTAAGGTCCTGAGCTCGACCCCTAGCTGGGTCGTGGGTGCGTACTGCTGAGGAGTCCTATACCAGGACGAAACAGCTGTCCAGTGCTCCCAGATTTTCAGTGGTTCCTCAACTGACGTCAGTCCATGATGAATACTACTTCTGAAATATTTTTAATTTGTTTATAATAAAAGTTATGAGGATAATAATGGAAGAGGATTAAGGCCGTATATTTTAACTTGTGTAGGTGAAAAGTATAGGTCATTCGATAAGTAGTTAACGATTCAGTTGCAGGTACAATTACATGCAGTCAATGGTACATCTAAAATTGAATACCTTGTCGAAAGTCGAAATGCACTCAGCAACCTTGTGCATATCTGTGAAGCGGACGAGCCACACTTATTGTATGAAGATTGCCCAGACCTTGGCAGGTGGAGCGGAGTTCCGATCAGTGACCCAATAATTGAAACTCAAAACCAATGAACCACCGACTTTAAAGAAAGTGTTGATAAGGAGTGACTTTCGGGTTCTATTTCAAGTACCATGATGAAAAAGTACTGCTCACTGGATGACATTTCAAGCACAATTTATTTCTCATAGTTACAATCACATCATGTAGATATGATTATGAGTAATAAAATGTGGTCAAAATGTTACCCAGTAAATAATCCTGTTTCCCAGTGTAATACATATACATACATATAGCACAATCATTTCCCAACGCTATAAGAGAGTCTTTATACTCACACTGGAGTTACTTGACATCACGGTTTTCTCATAAGAACTCAAAAAATTCATCTCCAAGTATACCACCAATCAGTATCAGACAGCAACCCAATCTAGAGGTTTGTAGGGTTTGATTGGTAGCAAAGTATTTTCCATCACAGACTGAAATCAATTAAAGAGCTGTTAACTTGACAGTCTGCGGTTTGACTCCCAACAGCGATATGGATCTGCACTACTACAAAATAAAACGAAACAAGTGCTCGGTACCTCTAGGTTTCGATTGATGTCGATCCATGATGAAAACTACTTTGAAATCAATCTCAGGAAATTATAAACTGAACCAAGTGTCTGACTGGCGATGAGAATGTCGTGAGTTTGTAGAAGCTGAGTGAATCTCTGTGTTGATTTCAAAGACAGGGTGCTACGACCCCTACTCTTAGAAATGTGCAGTTTGAAACAACCAGGTAGGATTATTAGCTATCACACAACATGTGCGCTTATAGCTAATTATACCAACAACCTTTCTGTGTATGTCGACTTGCATTTGTATTTCCTTACTTCACAGTTCTGGTTCAGTCGAGTCAAATCGAAATGCATTCAACTACCAAGTGCACGTCTATGCAGTAGGCAATGAAATATGTTTTTCGTGCTCACACATGAAGAAAGCCTAGTACTCAATATACAATAAACATTATACGGGGTCATAATTGAAGGTGAAATGGAAATTTGGACTGTAGCCGGATTCGAACCAGCCACCACTAGGTTTCCGGCCCGACGCTCTACCAACTGAGCTACAAGGTTCGACTCCCCACCAGGTTTTTATTTCACTTCAATCACCAAGAGTTTTGCCTAACTACCATGTGAATTCGTGATGCGTTACTACCGCTTGATCGTATTCACAATGGCTGCCTAGTCGGAACTTCTCATCCCAGTCCAAATCTAGATGGAAATTAAGTAACTCTATTTTGGACTTTGACTGGAAATTACTCTGGACTGTCCGATCGTTTCTACTTTATTTCCCCCTCAATCAGCACCCAGTAACAATACACATGTGCTAAACCACGGCTATCCCAGATAGCCAAAATAAAAATCAATATGCTGCTCCCCATCTCATTCTAATTCAGTTAGATTTCGATTGGGATGAGAAGTTCTGACTAGGTAGTCAATGTGAATACGATCAAACGGTAGTAACGCACTACGAATTCACATGTTAGTAGGGCGAAAACTCCCGGTGATTAAAGTGCAGTAAAATCTGCTCAGCAGTTGGGCCTCGCAGTTCATTTGGTAAAGCATCGGGCCGAAAACCTAGTGGTTGCTGGTTCGAATCCCACTGCGGTCGAATTTTTCACTTCACCTTCAATCATCACCCAGTAAAAAAACTAGTCTGCCAAAACACGGCTATCTCAGATAGTCAAAATGATAATTAACCTTATGTAGAATAACTTATGATGCACGTTGAATACCATAGTAAAGAAGGAGGCCGAAAAAGGCGATTAACGCTTACCTTTGGCTTGCAGACAATCAATATTTTGTCGAATAAAAACAGATATCTGTAAGATAAACAATTTTGAACAGAAACAGGATAGAGCATAAAACGGAATAAAGAAAGTAAATAAACTGACCAGTACAAATGTTTACACATGTAATCGTTCACAAATCAATGCTGCATATAGAAAAGCATTGATAACATAGGAAAACGATTGATTGTTGCATACATGGATAAGGTAAACAGTCTTCGGAACAATGTTAAACATGCGATTGATACATCTATCACACATACGATCATGTTTTACAAATGATTCCACCTCAACACCAACTTTAGGCATAATAATAAATCACAGTGGTTCAGATATATTTCACGATCTATCAACAAAGCCTTAAACATGCAAAACTCTGATAATTCACGCTCTTTATCTCCCTTGTCTCACTGCTTTCACTGATATTCACTCCTTGTACTGTCACTAAATCAAGCAACTTGAACACGCTGTGCTTTATCTGATGTTTTATGTTTATTCACCAGTTAGTTAGATGATGGTGAAGGATGGTGACAGGATCTACTCGTCAAAAGATTTCAGGTGAATAATTCACACAATTGATATGATGAGAAATGCACTACCATGTTCGCAATCCATTTCGTGACAAAATTTTTTCCATGTCTACTGGTGAACACGCAACACTGAGCTATGTTGCTAGAGGCTAAAGTAGAAATATCATTAGTCGACTAAAAATATACAGCCTATACAATGACATTATCACAACAGACTATACACATTTGATCACTGTACAAAACAATCCGGCATAAAAAGATATAACAAAGGATTCCAAGGTTGTATTCATCAAGGAATGATATCACTTGGAGGACAATTAAAAATATGAGGGCATTTTAAAGCTGTCTCGTCTCAGAATGGGGCTCCGTAGCAGTGTACATGATCCATGATCCATGATGCCACCAAAAGGCGAGACAATCAGTGTGAAAGTGAGAACATATTGCAAAAGTCAACCAATACTCCGCTATTCAATATTACCTAGTTTTTGCCCTGCTTTCTGATTCAGAAACAACTTTAACCTCTCCATCCATGTGCAAATGTCCATAACTTGACAATTTCTTATCTGGAGGCTGAAAATTGTGAAAAAAGAAATTGCAAAATAAGGTAAGTTGTTAAATATGTTCAATAAAGAATATTTTCACTATCAGATAACATGTTTGCTTTCTTTATCCAAAAAATACAAATTGTTTTGATTATCAACGGTGGATAGTGACTAGTAGTGGAGTCCGAAACGCGCGTTTCGTCCTATTTGGGACTCGTCAGCTGGGTGTACCTGGCTCTTATTCAGTGGTGTGATTCCCACTAAGACTGGAACCCGGAACCGGTAGCTACAAATGCCATAGCGTTATCCACTAGGCCACCGAATCACGAGAGCCACTTCTTGTGCAACGGGTATGGTTTAAATGTTGCCACTTGCATTATCCCGTCGTTGACTGGACCGAATTGATCGGTCAACGATGGGATAATAAAATTGACATTATTTTCATTATTTGCACGTAATCTACTCATGTCAATTGGTAGTATATTTCACACGCAACTTCATGATTGGAGTCCTGACATCAGTCGGGGTGTTGATAGATCACAATGTGATCTGGAACTTTCGGTTTTCATAGGACGAAACCATGTTGAGATTTCTCACCGCAGACTGCATATTTTCGCAAACACCTAATTTGATTATTTTGACTATCCACAAAATCTCAGCATCATTTGTGCACTTAAGCAATCAAAAGTATTGGGCTGAAACTTCTATCAATACTGCATTGATTTCTGTCTAAGATATTGAGAGACAGACGGTAAAACCGACGCGCGAATTCTAACACAAAAATATATTGCAAGGTGGTGACTTCGCTTGGGGGAGACATTGTGAACTCGATAGATACACTTTGATTATCACTTGACTATCTGAGATAGCCGTAGTTTGGCAGACTAGTATTTAAACTGGGCGACGATTGAAGGTGAGATGAAAATTCGGCCGCGGTCCAGATTTTCATCTCACGTTCAATCATCACCCAGTATAGGTACACTTTGGTCAGTGTTAAGAGGTAAGGACTAATTCACAACTTCCGTCTGCTTGAACTACAGATCAAAGTATCTTCCAGTGAACTGAAGTATCGTTAAGTTCACTTATCATTATTATTATTATTTGTCCCTTGGATCCCTAATGGAACATAGGGCTTCAGTAGCATGTCTCCATTCCACTCTGTGTTAAGTTCACTAGGGCAGAAATATTCAATAGTCACATAGGATTGATCAGTCAGCCAAACGATAACAACGGGACTGGCGTTACCGCGTAACGGTTCGAGTTGCCACATCTCATACCAGCACATCAAAGTATGCAATACAATGAGGAAAGGGGAAGAAACAAGGAGGAAAGTGGTCAAAAGTAGTAGGAATTCGTAAAAAAAAGAGCAAGAAAGAATAAAGTTCAACATGAAGATTGAGATAATGTATGGATACATCTACGCCACTGACACTGTTTCTCAGTCATATCAGCAAGAGTCTCCAATCAGCGATTTCGGTGGCTACATGGAATCGATGCGGAAAGTTTACATTTCCCTACACGGTTCAGATCAACAGCCATAAATTTCACGAACTAATGCCATGTTTTAGTCTGGTTACCTTCAGTCAACCTCAAGCATAACTCTTTTAGGTAACACTGGGCGATGAAGTAGATGGTGGATAAGAATGTATAACACATATCCCATCCACCTGAGCCGATGAAGATTCATAACATCGCATGCTAAATGATCTGGTGGCACCACGACAGGCAGCCTATGTTACAAGACCAACAGTGATCGAACGCCTGAAGCCTTTTCTTATGTCCTCTACCTGTAATGGCAATCTTTCACAGCCAAACAGTTGAACAGAGCGAACTGAAGCGCAGTACACTCAATTGTTAGTGGGCAATCGAAAAGCACGGAGGTGCCATAAATGGCCTACGTTGAAGAAGGCCAAGCGGGCCTTCTTTTTGTATGCAAAAATTTCATCGCAAAGTGGTCAACATAATCAACCACTTCACTCTGTGTTGTTAGATGCAGTGCCAACTTTGACCAATCCTACAGAAACAATTTGCACCTAGGTGATGAAAATTTCATCCTAAATACACTCAAATGAATGAACTTCCGCCACCAAATTTGTACTCATTTTTCTGTGCACTCTCCATTCTAGTGGCTAATCTAACATCAGTTGGCTGTTTCACATTATTGCCTTTAACAGTGTTAGTATTAACGTCATTCAGATGTAATAAGCCTTTCGTTTAAAAATATTGTTCCGGGAGTGACTTTCTTAGAATATTAAATGCTGAGAATTACATACTGTATCATACATATTGTTTGGAATAAAACGATTGTCACTATTATTATCATTATTATTATTATCATTAATGTGCCACTCAGTGTACTTTGAGGGCTCTGAATATTGTCAGCGTCTTCACTTAACAGGACTACGTCATATGTGCACTCAAGGTCTGGGTTTAGTAGGGAGTTTCCTGCAACCAGATCGCTACCTGTAAGAGCAGACGACGAGGGACAACTTCCATAAGCACGCTTATGACAAAATTATATAAGAATGGAGATAGTATATATTCCAGACGGACACCGCTTGATAATACACCAGAGGCTGCAACACGCCCACGAACTTCGATTATAGAGCCATCAATAGAGTGATGTACATAACTAGTACCTCTTTCAACGAGAAACACTGTAATAAGACGTCTCGATCGACAGAGTCAAATACCGTTTTTACACCGAGAAATACAGATAGTGTCAGGTACCGGTAAGTATGGCTGTTGTAGAAATTGATGAAGAGTGAATAATTTATCGATACAATCACGACCTAACTAGTCTTTTCGGGTTTACTGCTCCTGAGCTTCATATAGGAAGGGGATCATCAACCACTAGACTAAGTGTCTAATTTTTGGCACGTGCGACCAACTGACAGATAATCTCAATTCCAGAAACTGAAATGAACAAATGGCGCTCAAAGTTGGTTTGACAGGATGATCAGGTGACTTGCATTGGCTGGGCCTTTTACATTTCCATGTACCATTAGTAAATATATCAAAGAGCATTCGATATTCTGGCATACACAGATATTGAGTTCTCATCGTATTAACTGGTGAGACGAGTATAGGGAATAGATCTGCAAAATAATTCTATATCTTCATGAGTTGAACATAAGATTGTTACAGTAAGGTAATAAAGAAGAGGATAATAACAGCAAGAGGAATAAACTCCAGAATAATCATGAGAAACGTCCGTATTTCAGGAAATATGCACGATAATTCTCAGTTCATCGATGGTACACAAAAGTGGTTCAAAATGTTATCCCATTTAGCTGTGTCAAGTAGCCCTTATTTCAATAATTTATGGTCATTTCAGTGGCCCGGCGTTAAACACCCGTCAGGATCACATGATAGAATCCATAAGGATAGCTGAATAGATTGAACAACCTGAAGTAGGCAAGCAACTCACGTAGGTGAACTGGAAATACCAACAGCTGGTTAACCACTGCTTGTGTATTCCTGTTACTATAGTTTCTAGTTGAAATAATACAAATATTTGTTCCGATATAAACCGATTTTCCACTTCAGTCGCTACTATTCAGACTTTTTAGTGAAGTGTATGCGATAAGAAACGTCCTTCCTGTACCTGGAACCAACCAAACACTTGGACGATATAACACGTCCAGTGGCTCTAGGTATTCGTATTGGCTTGTTACAGAAAGTAAATTCAGATTTATCACAATACTGAAGTTGAATCGAAATCGAAATTCACTAAACAGCCTTGTGCACCTTCGTGTAGTAGACAGTGTGTGTGTGAGGGTCAAGGATAATACTTCGTTACCTAAACCTCGAATGGTGGAGCGGGGTTCGAACCCGCGACTCACTAGTTGAAAGTCATCTCCCCAGACCAATGGTCTCCCTTTTTTAGTTAATTCAAGCTAGGCAACCTATTTCTTGACAACTAACATAAAGTAGATAATATTGAAAAATCTGATCATATCCATATTCATACTACTTAAGCAATGATCTGTAATCTTAGCTCCAGTTTGAGGCCCACTCACCAAGTGATGTCATCTTTCTGACACTTTATTTTGAACAGCCGCCATATATAATGGCTTCCCAATCGATACATCCAAGTGAAATGTAAGGTATCAAAGAGACTAACTACTGTCTAATGGCTGTATGCTGTCTTGAATGCAGCTAGAAGTCTATGTTTGGAAGGCTCAGTGGTAGTATTGAATTACGTGCAATTCTACCATGACAGATATAAGTGATCCCCTGAGATAATCAAGACACCTAAATATAAAATACTCACACCAATATCTTTTATTTGGCTTTCCTCCTATTATGCCTTTCACTGTACTCAAAGTTCGAGAAATCGAGTCAAGATGCTCACAGCAACCTTATGCACACTCGACCAATAGGAAATGAGTCACACCTATGGTGTGAAGGCTAAGGATACAATCTGGATGCCCGTATCTCAGAAGGTAGAGCGAGATTCGAACCCATGATCCACTGGTTGAAAATCAACAGCCTTAAACCAATGGAGCCACAGCTCCACATCACAACTATGAATATCCAATCGCATTGTCTAGCACACTGGTATAATTGGTGCATGAAACTAGTATCCATAGTCAGATGACCAACAAGCTAACAACAAAATTGAAAACTTTATTATTACACAATACAATTTAACTGAATAATACACACGCGCACCTAAGCAATATAAAATAAAAATACAACCGCATAAAAAAAATGAAAATTAGGAGTAATAATGAAAACACCACACTTACCAGCATTATTTCAATTAAACTGTCAGAATAACGAATAAAGGGTGAAGATAGGAAAGAAAAAAAGATTAGTGCTTATATATATATATATATATATATATATATATATATATATATAAAGCTTAAATTAGCGTTAATTTGATTGATTTGAAGTACTTTAGCTATCACAACACTGGAATCCAACTTTTGCTTGACACAGTAATGACGATTAATTAGCTTCAAAATTGGATATCAAAACTGTTGTTTAAGAGGGTAGATACTTTGTATCAACGTTTTCTTATAGTGGGTGATAACATAAGTGTATCAGAGTTACGATAGTAAACGTTAATTGAAATTGAAATCCAGTCTGCAACCGTGTGCACGTTTGTGCAGCAGGCGATGAGCCAAATCTATTGTGTAACGGCTAGTAATACTACCTCCTGATTTCCCAATCGTCGGTAAGCGGAGATGAATATCAATGAAGTGGGCCACTGGTTCGAATCTTGCTCCATCTGCTGAGGTTTGGGCAGCCAGGTAGTATCATTAGCCATCACACAATAGATATGGCTCATTACCTGATGCATGAGTGTGCACAAAGTTGCTGAGTACGGCCTAAGTGTAGCTTGATATCTGATGATAACGCACACGGAATGATCAGTAAATGGAACTACTTATGACTGTTTACGTTTATATCTCAGCATTATAATCCTATAAATGTATTTTAAACACCAAGACTATGAGAGGTAACTGATTTCCCTACCAGATTTCCGCTACTTCTGGATTTATGAAGAACTGCAAATTAGAAGAACAAGCTAACAGTTCGCCTTGAAAAACTTATCTCAAAATTAGTCATTTATATAAATGCTTCGTTATATTTTCGGTGTCAGATTCTAAGACTTTTCGTTATCCTAATGCGAAGTGTTCAAGGTCTATTTGTAAGATTCATGACAGCTTGAAACCTACGATGGAGACAGATCTTTTTGACAAATATAGAACTCTGCGAATAAACAACTACTTAAACCCTACTAATGGTACGTTTTTAAACAAAGAATCACTACCTAACAACATAAACAAGGTACACCTTTCTAACAGAGGTGTCTACAACCAGACTATCTACCGAAAGGCAGCCAATGATATACTTAGCAGCTACTTAAGTGGCCAGATGCGAACACGTACTTCATATTTTAAAACTTATCCAACAGTCATAAAGTTTGAAGTTTATGGGAATTTTATTTTAAACGTAGTATTCATCACGGACTGACATCATTTGGAAAACCATTGAAAACCAGAAATCAAAGGACAGTTGTTTCGTCCAAGTATGGGACACCTGAGTAGTAAGCACACCCATGCCCCCGCCAGGAATCGAACCCATGGAGAGCTTCAGGCCTGATAACGGACTTGTTAACCATTTAGTCACTGCGTCGAAGCTAAGTGGTCCACAGATTCCTACTGCTGCCATTTCGTGATACAGGGCAACTATTCAGTGCTCCCAGGTTTTCAATGATTCTCCAACTGACTTGAAATTAGTCAAAAGTCGACTGTTACATGATTAGGAAAACTTAGAAACCTGTTGAACTGTTTAACTCTCTAACCTCATGGTCATAAACTCGAATCAGCTGTCTTCTTCATTCAGTAGTGAATGTAAATCCCAGTTAATCATTCAACTAATGAATTATTAGATGCATAACTCAATGACAATGGATACAAATAGCCTGAAATGAATACTGAAAATAAGTGAAATCAGAAAAGAAGTATGGTTCTCTGCATACTGAAACACTATCGAACTAACCTGGATTGAATTTGATCAATGGAACTAATTGTATCAAGATCTCGTTTAACGTCATTAATCGACAAAGCGACTTCACGCATAGCTTCATGGGCTAAGGTAAGATCTGGACGATCTGGATGATCAGCTGGAGTGAGTTTGCATAAGTGCTAGGGGTAATAAAATATTAACTGTTATTAAGCAAATCAGTTCATTCATGAAAACAAACAATATTTTTACCCACTGAAAACTCTTTTACAATAGAATCAAGTTATGAAATGGTGGAGAATATTTGTAGCTCAGGTGGATGGTCTTGGTTTTATTGTGTTCTCTGAGATGGTTTATTTAATCGTGGAGCTTTTATCGTCATTCTAGACGACATCATCAGCACACCAATGCGCAAGATTAGTTGCGTGCAGACTCTGTTTAAAAGAGCGAGAACACACTGCAGTACAACAACCTCACGGAGAACCTAAGAAAATTACTTGGTGTCCATCCTAAAGAAGAACGGCTAACCACGAAACTTCATCAGAAGATGCCTATCTCACACATCATCAACTACAAAGTCATACACAGAAATCAACGAACGCATCATCCTACAGCACATAAAGAATCTATCAGAAATCACAACAAAATTACTGAAACCACTTGGAATTGGTGTGGCTCATAAACCAACAAATTCCCTCGAAACCCTATTATGCAGATCAAGGGATGCAACAACCAAAGACAAACCGAATATCATTTACAAATCAACCGCAATAACTGTAGCCAGCACCACATTGGACGAAGGGGTAGCTCTCTGTCTGCCTTCGTGTAAATGAACACCAATTGGCTATTAAACGTCACGACATCTCATCAATCATTTCAATGCACGTGGATAATTATGGAAATGAATTCAATTTTGACAATGTAGAAATCTTGGACGGAGAGAGGAAACACAAAGAATATCAGAGAATTCCTAGAAGCTTGGCATTCATGTCAGTCAGCAATCAACAGATGTATAGACATAGACCCAATCTACCAACCAATGAGAAAAATGATAAATGACGGAAAGGTCAGAGGTCAAGAAGAGGAACAGCCAACAGGAAAATCTATACAATCAATGACAAGAAACCAAAGGAAACAACCAATCACATACAAACCAGTTCGTCAGGGCAAGCTACTAAACCGCTGATGGAGAGATATTGACAGCTCAGTTCATACCGAAGTTAGTGCTGATGATATCGTCTAGAAAGACGATGAATGCCCCATGATTAAATATCCCAGCTCAAAGAACGCAATGCAACCAAGAAAATCAATTTAGTTGTGTGAATATAGTTTTTAATGCTGGGCAGTGTTCAGTAATGCTGATTGAAGCAACTTTACAAAAATATCCCTTAGAAGTTCTAATCTGTACAGTCTCTGATACAATTCATTCCATTGCACTACCAACTGTATTTTAAGACAATATCTGTTCCCTCCAACAAAAACAATGACAAACCATCATACACAACACAATCCAATTCACTTAGTATTTCTCAATCTGGAGGATTCCGCAATGTCACTGCTTAATCTCCCAGTTTAAAATAATATCCATGTGATTTGTGTGAGAAACCATTACCTTATTAACAATCATCAAAACACTGTGGAGTACCTTATGTTCAGTATACACAAGTGCAACTCGGCAATCACACGTACGATAATGTAGTAGGTAATGAGCTACATCTATGGTGTGACGATTTGTGACACTATCTTACTGTTAGGATTTCGATAGATGAGGTAGAATTCAAACCCGTGACTAAGTGGTGGAAATTCCATTGTCCGAACCAAAGAGTCACAGTTCCATAATAGGTCCACCTCGAAGCGATAAAATAAAATTAATCATTTCACCAGATTGAACAATTTTTATCATATCATCAGACGAGTTGCTTTTTTTTCCATCAACTATCCAATGTTTGACTAGGTTGCTACATAACAATTGGCATTGTAGCTACCCTCCTCATGTAGAAATAAACTAACTGAACAGTGTCTTTATATAGAAGTTATTGATAACCGCAAACATATTGCTAATTACAGTCTGTAGAGATGTAAGTCAAATAATCAAGGCAACCAATGTTTATCAATCATCAAGCAATTTAATCTACAGTCATTTAATGAATCATTTTCTGCAATTCCTACTGGCCATAGTATCAAATCTAACCTAGTCCTTTTGCAAGAAAACAAACCAACTCATTTAAATTTAAATACGTTTATGTGAATTCGACCTATAAAGATCTATTAGCAATTAAACAGATGACAAGCTGTCTTAGTTGCAAAGAAATGTCAACCAACATCCCTGTGAATATGAATGAGGAGAGAGAGAGAGAGAGAGAAAGTCATCCAGTACCCTGAGTTAACAGCAGTTCAAAATACTCGGTCATCATAAGAGAGGGTTCGGTGGTTCCAATGACAATATGATCATCGAGACACCGCTGAGTTTTAAACTACTCCAAAGAAGTTATATGCATCTGTGAAGTGCTTTAAAAAATTTTCTTTATAGGTCAAAAGACTGATAGCAATCAACTAGTTTGACATGCTTGTAAAACTGCAGCTCGTGGTAATACGAATCATCTGGATATTTCAATGTCCTGAAATCTGACTAGGAAAATAAACATAAGTTTAAACTGAAAAAAGCAATAAATTTAGTGCCAACGACAACAACACCGGGAAATATAGGGAAAAAATGATATGCTCACCTCTAATAAAAGATGATATTTCAGTACACGTTGAATAGGAATTGTAAGCAGCTCTGCTAGAGCAAACTTATTGTATTTTTCAGAGTTTGACTGACAAAGCTAAAAAGAAAGAACAAAATTTAAGCAATAGATTAGGAGACTAAAACAAAAATTTTTATAGAGTGTATGAGTATGCCACAGCCACATATCATACACCTAAGTGGTATAAAGGATAGAAGAAAGTTTCAGAACCCGACTAAGTATATCTTAACCAATTATTATGTTTATTTTAAAAGGTAATATACTCAGTAGTTATTTTGCAGATACATTTTGTAAGGATTTTTAAAAGCCATCTTCCAAGGCGTTAGTTACTGTATCATGTCTCATCCTTGAAAGGTCACTCAACTACTCGCTATTTCTTTCACTTTGTAGCCAAAATGTCCTGGTTGGATAAGTGTAATTTATCGAGGGTCGTGGACATGCTACTTAGCTGTATAAGAGCGCATTAGCACAGGGATAAAAAGAAGCTACCATCTAAAAAAAGATATTAGCACCTCACACCTCATAGTCAATGAAGCCGATAACTCACAAAAAAGGGAAAAACATCAAGGAGTGAGATATCGAAGTGTATAAAAAATCGGGTGGCTTTAACGTATGCCTTGACAACTACTGAAGTGATCAGTCGGGTCCGCTAATTTAACATAAAAACTACCTTTCTAGCTAAAATCGGGCAACCTGATTGGTTATTTATTCCAGTCGTTGCTAGGGTAACCTTTAGAGTAACTTGATTATAATTCCAGGCTTTTGATAGGTCGCGGTAGCTCTGTAAACTTTAATACAGACTATGATTACCAGGGTACCAAATTTTATGCTGTCATGTCGGTTGTTTTGACCAGCTAAGGAAATAGGGCGACTTTGAAAGCCACACTAGCAACTGCTGAGATAACCAATAAAGTTCCTCTATTCTATGAAGAACTACCCTCGTAGCCGAAATCACGAATTTCGACAGGTTAATTTAGCAGTTGCTACGGTAGTCTTTAAAGTCGGGCGACTTTAAAGGCCACCCTGCAATAACCAACCAATCACGTTTCGACATTCCAGCTAGAAAAGCATTTTTTCATAAAAAGTAGTATCTTTGTTGGTTAGTTGATAGGATGGCTTTTAAAGTCATTCCTAAATTTCTAACTCAATCCTACTCTAACTAGCATGGCAGGATGAGGTAGGTAGGCAACGATTGGATATACATAACACATGACTTAAGTGGTTCAAAATTACAGTCTCATAACCCGCACATACCTTCATCACTCTAGGCTCTTTGCTCAACCTCAGCATTGCTGACTCGAAATGAACAAATGAGACGGATAGACATTGTTATTCAGCTTTTATAACAGTAAAGTGAATGCAAACGCACCTCAAGTACTGATCAATAATTAAATTGCTTAATTCCTCCGCGAACCATATAGCTCACATTTTCAAAAACAGATGTTACCTGATGAATTCGAACCTAATCAACTCAGTAACATTGTGCACCTCTTCGTGCAGTAGGCTATGGGCCACACGTACTGTGTGGTGGGTACTAATACTACATGGCTGCGCAAACCTCGATAGCTAGAGCGGTGCTCGAACCCATGACCCACTGACTGAAAGTGGGACACAACAACTGGTATCCTACTAATTTACTTTCATGAAGCATTATATTTATACTATCTATAACGGAGCAGTTTAATTGAAGACAGACAAATTTTAGATATGTTCAACAGCACTTCAGCTACTTCTACCCATGATACAGTCTCATAAACTTGTTTTGCCACAAGCCCAATAACAGCCCTGACTACCCGGAAGTGACACGAAACGCTGACAGAACTACAAATGAACAGAGAACGAAATATCCTAAAGGTTCTTATAGCATCTGATATTAATATTCACATCAAACAGTTAGATACAAAGTATGACACATTGCTCTTTCGCTTTATTAACCATCGCTATAGGAATTGATGTTAGCATTATGGGTGATTATGAGTGAACGATTACCAATAAAGTATTCCTCTACATAGATTTATACTAACAGATAGAGACATCATAAGAAGTTTGAGACCTTTTATAAATAAACAAGGAAGTCAAAATATATGCTGTAATAACCTCATTAACAGTAAACTTCTTTACAAGCAATCACTTTCAGTGCATCATATTCTAATTTCCTTAGCGAGCGCTTTTTGTCATCTTTTCATGAAGTTGTTTACATTATATATGCGTATCGCCCTAGTCTTTGTCAGTAAAATATCTTATTAAATGATACCTAAAGAGGGCATAATTTGTCGTCTCTTGTTATCCTTCAACTATGATTTTAGTATATCCATCCATAAACATGAAGTGGCTGAAGTTTTTGAACCCTTCTAAACTCCAAACTTCCAACTATATGTAGAGCTGATTCGCGTTCCTTATTCACCTATAAAAGTAAGCGATTGAGAGTATCGTTATGCTGTTAGTGAAATAAGTATATTATTACAATAATTAGGATGGAAAAGGCCAGGTGCTAACAAGAAGTCGTGTACAAAATATGTAATTCATTCAGGAACAAGTGGTAGCGTATAGCAGTAACATGAATATTATAAGTAGATTATTTATAAATAATAGGACTTCAAATGTAATATGCAATAAAGAATGACTAAACTATGTACAAAAACTGTTTATTATATGACTACTAAAGCTATACTACAGTTCCCAGCTCTGACTGTATTCTATTTTATTCTGATTGGATCAATTAAATGGCATCATTAAACACGACATCGATCGTCTTCAAAAATACCACAATATCAGTTTGAACAAAAACCCTAGCCAACATCATCATCATCATCATTATCAACATAGGACCAGGCATTACTGCGTAACGGTCCGAGTTGCCACACCTCATATCAGCACATCAAGTAAAAAGGTAGTGAGGTGAAGGATGAAGATAAGTGAATGCAGTCAAAAGAAATATAAAGTACGAGAAGAAAGGAAAGAGGAGTGACAAAATAGTGAGATTCGGTATAGCGTTGTTAAGATGAGGATAATGTGTGTATACATCTGCGCCACTGACTTCGGTTCTGAGCCATATCACCTAGGGTCTCCAACCACTGGTTCCTCTTGTCCCGTGGACCCCAACCACCTAGTCTGCATCGTCCTACATGGCTTAAACCAACAGTCAGAGACTTCATACATTGGTGCCATGTTTTAGTCTGGCCACCTCGGGCCTTTTTCCAGCCTGAACCCACCTCAGCCAACATTGTGTGACGAGGCAATCGGTGACTAGGCATACGTAGTACGTGTCCCAACCATCTCAGTCGATGAAGGTTCACAACCTCGTCGACTGACTTACCTCTTCTCCCTAAAACTCTACACCTAACTTCTGCATTACTCACATGGTGACACCACGGAATACGTCCTATACTACGAAGGCAACGGTGGTCAAACACCTGTAACCTTCTCATGTCTTCCACTTTCAATGGCCATGTTTCACAGCCATACAGTAGAACAGAGCGGACTGCTGTGCAGTACACGCGACCCTTAATAGACAAACGAATATCACGGCGGCGCCATAGGTGGCGCAAATTGGCAAAAGCCAATCGAGCCTTTTGTATCCGTGCAGAAATCTCATCGGCAACTAACCCACCGGGTTGATCCTACTTCCCAGGTAAGTGAAGTGGTCAACACACTCAACCACTTCACTCTCTATTGTTAACCGCGGTACCGCTGAAGACCAGTCCTGGAGCAAAAATTTGCATTTGGGTGGTGAAAATCGCATCCCAAACATTCTCAAATTCCCACTCAAAGTGTTCAGAAGACTCTGCATCTTGTCAGCGTCTTCACCTAACAGGACTATGTCATCTGCATATTCTAGATCTAAGGAAAATTCACCTGTGATCGGGTCAACGTCTTTGTAATTAGGTGACGAGAGGGAAACCTCCATAAGAATATCTATGATAAAATTAAATAAGAATGGGGATAGTGGGCATCCTTGACGGACACCACTTGATGAGTATAGCTCCCTGGACAACTCACCATAGGCTCTAACATGCCCACAAGTGTTCGAGTAGAGAGCTTTCAATAAGGTGATGTACTTACTAGGCACGCCTTTCAGTGACAGACACTGCCATAAGACTTCTCGATCAACGGAGTCAAATGCCGCCTTCAGGTCGAGAAATACAGCTATTGTCGGGCGTCTGTAAGCATGCCTATGTTCCAGGACCTGGCGCAGTGTGAATATTTGGTCGATACATCCACGGCCAGGTCTAAAGCCTGCCTGGTTTTCTCGGGCTTGCTGTTCCCGAGCTCCACTCAGGCGTCGGAGAATTATAGAACTTAGGATCTTAGACACTATGTTTGTCAGGCTGATTCCTCTGTGGTTATCACAAGAGGACTTCTCGCCTTTCTTGAAGACTGGGATGATGAGTGACTTAGACCAGTCGGAGGGGATCGTATTTGATTCCCATATACTGGCTAACACTTCCGTTAGCCTGACTAAGAGAACTCTACCACCATTCTTGTATACCTCAGCAGGTAGTCCGTCTGGTCCTGCTGCCCTTCCCCGTTTCAGGCTACCTACCGCTTTCTCAACTTCTTCTAGTGTTGGGGGACCTGTCTCTATGTCCCATTCAGGGTCCGACTGGATAGCGGGCAGCGCAATGGTGGCTGGAGGCCAGTTAAACTGTTCCTCAAAGTGTTCTGCCCATCGTCCCAGTCGCCTTCCCTGCGAGTGAATCGCAGATCCGTCCTTCTCCGCTATAACCTCACTAACTGTTGTTGACCATTTCCCCCCAGTCTCCTTAATAAGTCTAAATAACTGTCTACTGTTACCGATCGCCGCTGCCTTTTCCATCTCTTTAGCCTTTGCTGCCCACCACTGTTCACGATCGTTGCGCAGACTTTTCGTCAGTTATTTTTAAGTTGCGCTCGCTCTTCATTGTACTCAGAGCCTGCAGGGATGCATTCACGTGCATCCATTAGTTTGGAAGAAGCTGCTGATATCCACTGGCTCTTTTTAGCCATTATCTTGGAGTCGGCTACAGTCTCCAGTGCTGCTTTTACAGTAGACTGAAGATGGCACCAAGCTTCTTCTGGATGAGTGACAGTCTTTTGTTCCGATAACTGCCTAGCCAACTTCTCACTGAACACGGCTTTGGTGTTTTCGTTGTCCAGCAGAACTCGTAGTGGTTTTGTTGCCAAATTTTTTCTACGTCCATTGAGACGCAGGCATATACGTGCTCGGACCAACGCATGATCGCTGTCCAAACACGTACTCCAGAAGGAGCGGCAGTCTTCCACCGATCCTCTCCAGCGATGACTAATAGCAATGTGGTCTATCTGTGTCCATCGCTGAGTCGAGCTCGGTGGACGCCAGGTCAGACAGTGCCTTTCTTTATGTCTGAAATTTGTGCTGGCTAAAAATAGGCGGTTATCTGAGCATAGTTGTAATAGGCGATCACCGTTATCTGTACGTTCAGCTGGGATTCCGAAAGTGCCACCTAAGTGCCTTTCTGCCTCACTCAGTCTACCCACCTGTGCGTTGAGGTCACCTGCAACAACCACTACGTCCGAACGTTTGGCTTTCGAGAGGAGGTTAGACAGTTTATGGTAGAACTCGTCCTTCACTTCATCCGAACTACAGTCAGTGGGTGCGTAAGCAGAGATTACAAAGAGACAACGGCGAGTCTCACTATTCCTTTTAGTTCTCACTGTGCCGTTCAGCCTCATAGCGCAGAGGCGACTATCAACTGGGATCCAGTCTAGTAGTGAGTTTTCTGCCCTGGTGCTTAATGCTATACCTACACCTGCAAGACCACGAGAGCTAGCTATCGAATCTCCAGAAACTCGAAGGGTGAATTTTGCAGATTCACCAGATTGGTCAGGAGAGGTCAGGTGAATAACCACACTTGGGTCCTGTATGCGTGTCTCACAAACACAGCACACATCCATGCCTCGAGTTGCTAGAGTCTTTGCCAACGAAGCCTGTTGGCCAATTTGACGGAGGGTGCGGACATTGAAGGCTCCAATATGTAATTTGGAGCGTGGTTTAAGGAGACCAGGGACGCTGTTCTGTGGACTCAGATCGTTGTCGAAGGCTGCAGAGGTAGGAGAAATTGAAGATGATGCAGCATCATTAATTAAGAGACGTGAAGGAAGATTAGAAGGTAATGATGGAGGAGGAGGATAGCAGTCAGAAGAAACTTGGGTGCTGACAGAGTTGTGAGGGCGGTTGACACTTCCCGGCTGCCCACACCGTGGAAGGCTATTTCTTCTTAAGGTACCTGAAAGAGATTTGTGTGACCGCAGAGCCCATCGGACATCTGCTTGAGGCCTGTCACACCCAGCCTTTTGAGTATGATTATTTTGAATTTTTGTATTTTTGGGGCCGGATGAGCGAAAGGAAACGACAAGTGAACCAACACCGCCGGCCCGGCAGACCGTGGGGCGTGGTGGAGTGTGTTATTTTTGGGGCCGACCTTTTCTAACCCCCCCTTCCACTGAGAAGGCAGCATCAGCTTGGCACTGCTGGTCATCCAAGGGAAACACCTTACTGCTGTCACACCCCATCCAGCTAGCAGCAGTACGACTTCGCCCTCAGACCCCCATCATAGTGTAGCAATTTACACTATAACGGTAACTGCTTTTCGTCTAACCACTACCCAACAGACCTTTCTGGTATGGTAGGACCTCGAGGGAACAAGCGTTCCACCAGCATAGCTCGTTGGGTCATTGTGATATGCAAGCCCGACCACCACGTCAAGGTAGCAGCTATCGGTCGGTTGGCTGGGCGTGGTGGCGTGCGCCTGTAATCTAGCTACCTGGAGGCCAGGGTGTGGGATTTCGCGGGACCGGGAGTTCTGGCATATGGGTGCTCATGTTGATCGGGCGTCCACGCTAAGCACGGCGCCGATATGGATGGCCTGTCGGAGGGCGGGTTGCCCAGGTCGTCTAGCCAACAAAATTACAACGATACACTTATCTAGAGGAATGATAACACTAATAATAAGGAATGTCGACAAAACATATTTATAGGTAATATTCTGTAATGAAAAAGAAAAACAGCAGTAATCCGTAGACTTACCTCTATTCTGCTACGCTTTTCAACATCATTTCTCATAATTTCATACACCAAGTTTTGTGCATGTTGCAGGTGACCACAGTATTCTCCATATATGAGCAGATTATCTCGAGTTTTAAGAAAAACATCACTTAGACTAAGAAAATTCACAGTTGCACTGGTTGCCAAGCTTAGGTTACTTAAAAATTCCCTATGGATAGTGTGCAACTCCTAAAATTAAAATAAGAACAGTAATAATGGGGAAAAGAATTCGAAGAAATGCAATACTGTCATCATTATCAGTATCAAAATAGGACCAGACATTATTGAGTATTGGTCCTAATCCCCATATATCAGCACATCAAGCAACAAAATGAAGGATGAAGAAAGGACGAAAAGTTGGTCAAAAGCAATAGAAAGCAGCAGAAAAGAAGGAGGAATGAGAGAATGCTGAGTTCAGTATGGTAGTTCAGATAATCTATGGATATATCTGAGCCACTGACATTTATTTTAGCCACCTTACCTAAATTCTTGAACCACTGGGTTCTGTTGTCCCACGGATCCCAGTCAAGCAGTCAACATTTCCCAGGAATTGACGCCACCGTGAAATTTCAACGTACTTCGTCTAACTTTGTAGGACGAGGTAGATAATGACTAGACATATATGACACATGTCTCACCAAACTGAGTCAATAAAAGTTGACAAATGAATCCACTGATTTTTCTCTCTCCCCTAAAACTCTGCACGTGACTTCTGAATTACTGAAATAGTGACACCAAGACATACAGCCCATGCTACGCAGAAAACGGTCGTCAAATACCTGAAGCCCACCCAAATCCTCTACTTTTAATAACCATTTTTCAAAAACATAGAACAGAATAAAGGAAAGTGCAACGCAGTACACACGATCCTTGGTAGATAATCAGATATTACGGTGGCGCCGTAAACAGCGTCCTTTGGCGAAATCCAATCGAGCCTTTTGTAAGCCTGCAGTGACATCATCGACTACTGACCCACCACGGCTGATCCAACTTCCTAGGTAAGTGAAGTGCTCAACGCACTCAACCACTTCATTCCTTCTATTGTCAGCCAGTGCACCAGTAACAATCAATCGCCAAAAATTTTGGTACCTCAATCAAACAGTAATCCCGTGACAACCAAGTAAGTGAAGTGAATAATAGACTAGAATTAGTTTGGAAAATATTTAGGCATTGGGTAAACAATAATAATCAGTTATCTGGTATTTGTATTTCCCAATAAATGGAAAACAAAATAATGTTGTAATTCATGCATTGAAAAATACAAATACCGCAATTTAAACAGCGTAATGAGAAGACGAAGATTATCTGAAACATGTGATGTATTAGCGCTATACATTTCGAACAATCTGATCACATATGGACTTGTCGAACTATTTATATGAAAATTTACGAAAAGGTCAATGAAGTTAATGGGAAACATAGGAATAGGAAGGGATAGAAAAGGAAAACCTTATTCTTGGTATGAAAATTAAAATCAATACTACCAAGGTAGGTTCAACGTGAGTACAAATTGTTTTTGCATACATAAAGGGGGTTTAAATTTACGGATGGCAAGAGCTTCAATAAATTTAAGCACTCGGCTCTGACCACTTTTATATAGTACTTTAAAGACTGTTTTCATGTCTATCCTATGGTTAGTTCCTAGTATATGTTTAGCGATAGACGAAGATGGATGTTTGTCACCTGCACTTATCGGATCTGTTGAGGTCATTTGTTTTTGTAGCCACTTAGGTACATGTTCAGCCTTCCTTAACTGCATATCACGATTACTCCTCCCTATATATGTGTGTCCACACATACATGTAAATTGATAAACACAGTGGGGTGTGATGTAATCGTTTATGTGTTGTTTCAGTTTGTGCTGTAACATGGAATTGGTCTTCTCTACAATGATGACCTTAGCTGCATAATACGTTTTACAGATGGCCGATCTAAGTCTTTTCCTCACAACAAAGCTATGTGAATCACCTCTAAATGGTAATGAGATGTAGACATTTTTCTTAGCAACGGAACACGGTATACTTTTCAATGGTACATAACTTTTGCACCGGTCGATAAATCTCAACGGGTATCCATTCTGTATTAGAGTTGTCGTCAGTAAGTTGGCTTCTTCCTCCCTGGTGTCATCGGTGCAGATACGGTTTATCCTGTTGAATAAGCATCTGACTAAACCACGTTTGTATTGGACTGGACAATAGCTATGGAAATTAAGATATTGCCTTGTCCATGTAGGTTTCTTATAGATTGACCTCCTGATCGAGCCATCCTCCCGTCGACTGAGCAATACGTCTAGGAACGGTAGCTGATTGTTCGTCTCTTGTTCATAAGTCAGGCTAATGTGATTCTGAGCCGTGTTCATTTTCTGTAGCAGGCACATTGCATCATCAGGCTTTTCACATATAATGACTATATCATCAATATATCTCTTATAAAGTGAAACCTTTCCGATGAGATCGTCAGCCATGTTTTCAACATATGACATGTATACATCAGCTAGCAACGGTCCTAATGGACTGCCCATCGCGACACCATCAATCTGTTGAAAGTGTTCGCCCTCGAATGTGAATTCAACTTTATCAGTGCATAATAACAATAAATCTTTTAAAAAATTAATAGGGATAGGGAATATAAGACTGTTAGAAGAAATATAGTCACATAAAATATCAATTGTTTTTACTAGAGGTACATTAGTAAATAAAGAATTTACATCAAACGAGTACATAGTCTTATCCTTGATATTAATATCATTTAAACAGTCAATAAGGTCAAATGTATCTTTCAATGAGGACTTACATAAATGGCTTCTGACAGGATTCAAGAGCTTTGTCAACCATTTGGCTAGATTATGTGTGGGTGATCGACACATAGACAATATTGGACGCAGTGGGTTGTCAGGCTTATGAGTTTTAGGTAACCCATATAGATGTGGATGTTCAGATCCCATAGGTTTTAGACGATTGAATTCCTCCTTATTGATTATGTGATTATGTCCAAAACCTATGGGATCTGAACATCCACATCTATATGGGTTACCTAAAACTCATAAGCCTGACAACCCACTGCGTCCAATATTGTCTATGTGTCGATCACCCACACATAATCTAGCCAAATGGTTGACAAAGCTCTTGAATCCTGTCAGAAGCCATTTATGTAAGTCCTCATTGAAAGATACATTTGACCTTATTGACTGTTTAAATGATATTAATATCAAGGATAAGACTATGTACTCGTTTGATGTAAATTCTTTATTTACTAATGTACCTCTAGTAAAAACAATTGATATTTTATGTGACTATATTTCTTCTAACAGTCTTATATTCCCTATCCCTATTAATTTTTTAAAAGATTTATTGTTATTATGCACTGATAAAGTTGAATTCACATTCGAGGGCGAACACTTTCAACAGATTGATGGTGTCGCGATGGGCAGTCCATTAGGACCGTTGCTAGCTGATGTATACATGTCATATGTTGAAAACATGGCTGACGATCTCATCGGAAAGGTTTCACTTTATAAGAGATATATTGATGATATAGTCATTATATGTGAAAAGCCTGATGATGCAATGTGCCTGCTACAGAAAATGAACACGGCTCAGAATCACATTAGCCTGACTTATGAACAAGAGACGAACAATCAGCTACCGTTCCTAGACGTATTGCTCAGTCGACGGGAGGATGGCTCGATCAGGAGGTCAATCTATAAGAAACCTACATGGACAAGGCAATATCTTAATTTCCATAGCTATTGTCCAGTCCAATACAAACGTGGTTTAGTCAGATGCTTATTCAACAGGATAAACCGTATCTGCACCGATGACACCAGGGAGGAAGAAGCCAACTTACTGACGACAACTCTAATACAGAATGGATACCCGTTGAGATTTATCGACCGGTGCAAAAGTTATGTACCATTGAAAAGTATACCGTGTTCCGTTGCTAAGAAAAATGTCTACATCTCATTACCATTTAGAGGTGATTCACATAGCTTTGTTGTGAGGAAAAGACTTAGATCGGCCATCTGTAAAACGTATTATGCAGCTAAGGTCATCATTGTAGAGAAGACCAATTCCATGTTACAGCACAAACTGAAACAACACATAAACGATTACATCACACCCCACTGTGTTTATCAATTTACATGTATGTGTGGACACACATATATAGGGAGGAGTAATCGTGATATGCAGTTAAGGAAGGCTGAACATGTACCTAAGTGGCTACAAAAACAAATGACCTCAACAGATCCGATAAGTGCAGGTGACAAACATCCATCTTCGTCTATCGCTAAACATATACTAGGAACTAACCATAGGATAGACATGAAAACAGTCTTTAAAGTACTATATAAAAGTGGTCAGAGCCGAGTGCTTAAATTTATTGAAGCTCTTGCCATCCGTAAATTTAAACCCCCTTTATGTATGCAAAAACAATTTGTACTCACGTTGAACCTACCTTGGTAGTATTGATTTTAATTTTCATACCAAGAATAAGGTTTTCCTTTTCTATCCCTTCCTATTCCTATGTTTCCCATTAACTTCATTGACCTTTTCGTAAATTTTCATATAAATAGTTCGACAAGTCCATATGTGATCAGATTGTTCGAAATGTATAGCGCTAATACATCACATGTTTCAGATAATCTTCGTCTTCTCATTACGCTGTTTAAATTTATCAAAGGGACCAACTGCTTTAAATACCGAAATAATAAATGTAATCAGGTTATCCCTTAAGGATTTATTTGATTCAAGTGAAAGTGTTCGTCATAACTTTTCGCCAAATAAAGAAGTACTGAAAGTCAAAAAAAGAATGGTTTTGGTCTATGATATGTATATATGAACGATATAATCCTCCGACGGGATACGATTGACGATAGACAAATGACTTCTCAACACGATATTCAGCTAACACCAGAATAAGAAGACAATGGAATTATAAGTATATTTTCTCCAGCCGAATGGTGCAATTATAGCTGGAAGTTCAATCGTTTGCATACCTTGTTAAGGGCCTTGACCAGGGAAAACAAAATAGATTATTAAAAGTGTAAAATGAAGCAATCGAACTTAGTATCTTGAACCACGGTAAAAATAAGTAACATTACGTGGAGTGAAGAAGCTTTTAAGGGATCAAACATCCCTAGCAGTAATAAACAGCTACTTCGCAGTACTTTAAGATTCTTCAGTTCCACTGATCCTCCATCTCTTCTTCAATAGATCCCATGACTCTCAAATCCTAAGGAAAGCATGTTGTCAGTAGACAAGTCAGATCAAACCCTGACACATCTATAACCTTTATTCGATTTATAATATAGTAAGTGACTATTCGCCAGTTTCGCAGCAGATATCTGTCTTCAATTGTCAACACAGATGCGACCTAGAAAAATGTCAATAACTTCTTCTGTGAAGATTTGGCATTACTGAAAAGCAAACGTAAGCCAAAGCATTACACCCGCAATTTCGCCTAAGTAATCAAACAATGGGTTACTTGCCCAAAAAGTCAATCACCTAGACTTCTTTAAAGAAAGAATAACTAATGTCAAAATCTCTTTAACCAAAACACAGTAGGTGTCTGGATATGACTTATGTCTATTTTTGGAGCAAACTATCAGCAAAATAAGGAATGAGCAGTGTAAGATATGTTTTTACCGACTAATCTATCAAGTTCATAATGCATAACAAGACATAACTTTCTTACGGGAGATTAACCAGTAAGATTGTTAAATTACACGCCGTTAAGACACCTCGCTAACAACCTTGCACATAACCTCGAACAGAAACAGTTTGCTGAAAAGAATAATAACAAAGTCTTTAAGATGGTACTTATCACAGATTGACATCAACTGGAGAACCACTGAAGACCTAAGAGCATCAGACAGCTGTTTCATCCCTCAGTATTACGCATACACAACCTCACCCCGCCCCGCCAAGGACCAAACTCAGGACCTCCAGTTTTCATGGCAAACGAGTTAACTGTTCAGCCACTAGGTTGGAGATCAGTGGTCCACAATTTCCTACTTCCTCATGTCAATTCGCGATGTAATGCAACTATCCACTAAGGTCTTCAGTTGGTATCCGCTTCACTTCCGACTGGTCGACCCCACAGATCACAGGTTCTCATTATAACTTCATGATATTCATCTCGAAGCATGTCACTAATGAGCGAGATACAGTAATGTATGTAGTTCGCAGTTTATGAGGATTTCTTTTTTAGGGTAGTATGCATCACGTACTCACATCACTTAGTCTTTACTCTTACGGTTACCGTGGTTAGCAGATTCTTGTTATACTTGTAGGACTAAGAGTACGCTGACTAAATCTGTCTTGCGTAACTCAGTCACTTGTTTTCTACACAAAAACGCAAAGTCATAGCTAGACAGGTGATACGTGATTTGATAAGAACAGTTGTTTCTCGTTTACGAAATGGTTAAGCATAATATTCAGTGACCGATATGCAAATGAAAACGCGTTAGCAACAAGGTTTTCTAGATCAGATGATAGATTAACAGACAATGTGACTACAACGCAGATGCTTTCCCAATTCTTGGCGTCCTAAAATATTGCTAGAGCCTTGATCATACAATTCGACCGAGAGATAAAATTTCCGACAGTTGAAGCAGTTCCGCATTTACCTCAGGAAGCCTTAGCTCCCATAACCCTTCATGATGTTTTTAAAATAAGATTTAGGAGAGAAAAAGGTTAGAAAATTTGTTCCGCGCAATATGTACTATTTTCGCCTAAAAATCAATGAGGACAGTAGGTTGACCAATTCGACGAGAAATTACAGGTATCAAACAACATTAACTGAAACCCATTGCCAAAGAAGTGACTCTTGTGCTCCAGTGGATAACACTTTAGCGTTTGAAGCGATGGGTACTGGAGTTTGAGTCTCGGTGGAAACAACACCATTCACTGTGGTACAGGTACATCTAGCTGACAAGTCCAAATAGGATGAAACGCGTGTTTTGGATTCCACTGCTAGTCACTAAGATGAATATAACAATAATAGTTTAGCAAACGAAGGAACAGAAAAACTGTGCCTACGACCAAGTGAATAACGAGAGGGGAGAATGATTACATTCTGAAGATATTCTCTAAAAATAAATTGTGTACTTTGAAAAATATGTTTTGTCACTGTAGAGGAGGCTAGATCCCTAAAGAATGCTATAACCATTTACAAGATTTTTCAAAAGCACTAAAAAACTAGAATGATTAGTTACTGGAGAACAACCAATCTGATGGTTTTCTAGTACTGACTGCCTCCGGCTAACGTCAATCAAGGTGCATCACCATAGTGAGCCTCCTAGCTTAGTGGTCACAATGCAAAATGATAGACAGAATCCGGTTAGAGCTCAACATTAGACAGCACGACATTGGTTTCTGTCTAGTAACCAATCAATGTATCTAACCCAGTTCTGGAGGATGTCAATCGCAGCCCGAATACATCAGTGGTAACATCTCCGACTGCAGCTCTGGGTGACTCGGGTTCGAACCTCAGAGAGGACATCAGTTCGCTCGAAGTTGCAGATGTGCCCTCCAGACGAGTGCCAACAACCACGAAACGTTGGTCGAGCACAGCTTCCTCCCGATTTCCTCCAACCAACTAGCATCTGAAGACATCTTATGACTCCAAAAATCACCACAGAAAATGCCAATAAGCGATAGTGTACAGGTTAGATGTAATTGACTGAGTCAGATCAATTATCAGAAAATAAAAGATAACTCCAGTTTTCTCAGATTGATATTAGACAGACAAATGGAAAGGCAAACACAGACAGAACCTCGCACGCAAGTTAATCGGTTCAAGTTACTACACACGTATGATACCTACGCTTCTCATGACTCATCTTTGAAGGGATGGGAATGGGGAAAAACAACCATATGTAGAAGAATTAACATCATTCTAAGGAAACTCTTAGCTTAAACAATATTCCTTCATATCATCATTATCAACATAGGACCAGGCATTACTGCGTAACGGTCCGAGTTGCCACACCTCATATCAGCACATCAAGTAAAAAGGTAGTGAGGTGAAGGATGAAGATAAGTGAATGCAGTCAAAAGAAATATAAAGTACGAGAAGAAAGGAAAGAGGAGTGACAAAATAGTGAGATTCGGTATAGTGTTGTTAAGATGAGGATAATGTGTGTATACATCTGCGCCACTGACTTCGGTTCTGAGCCATATCACCTAGGGTCTCCAACCACTGGTTCCTCTTGTCCCGTGGACCCCAACCACCTAGTCTGCATCGTCCTACATGGCTTAGACCAACAGTCAGAGACTTCATACATTGGTGCCATGTTTTAGTCTGGCCACCTCGGGCCTTTTTCCAGCCTGAACCCACCTCAGCCAACATTGTGTGACGAGGCAATCGGTGACTAGGCATAGGTAGCACGTGTCCCAACCATCTCAGTCGATGAAGGTTCACAACCTCGTCAACTGACTTACCTCTTCTCCCTAAAACTCTACACCTAACTTCTGCATTACTCACGTGGTGACACCACGGAATACGTCCTATATTACGAAGGCAACGGTGGTCAAACACCTGAAGCCTTTTTATATCCTCCACTTTCAATGGCCATGTTTCACAGCCATACAGTAGAACAGAGGGGACTGCTGTGCAGTACACGCGACCCTTAATAGACAAACGAATATCATATTGTTAGCATGATTTCACAGCCGTATGCGTGATACAGATGTATCCACAATGCAACAATAAAACAAGTAAGTAACATGTTACAAAGCTGTAGTGAGTTTAATACTTACCTCAATATACTTGAAAATTTCTCCAATTTCATTATTTGAAAGAACTCCAATCAGTGGATGTTTATATTTCTAAATTATTAAGTATTGAATTAACAATGAGTCAGATTTTTCCTTTACCTCAATCAACATTTTCAAGACATCAACATAATTCTTCTCTGTATCCACTATTTCACGGATACAGCATTCCCGTGCTGTTGTCGGCTCTGAGTTTAGATTCTAAAATAGGTGGTTTAGAATTTCTTTGTTTTTCAAACATTACTAGACGAGATTTCGATCCCTGGTATACAACTGTGTCGTACAACTTCTCTTTGTTCTCTTCTTCCATTTGAGCATAGTTTGTTTTCCCAGAATCTGGTAACTTATTCCTAAAATAGCCATATAATAATGATATTTTATGAACTGAAACTTCTCACATTGCAGCAGCAATTTCCTCAAGGTTGTTATAATACTCATGAGTAGACTGTAGGGTGGAATTCTCTGGTGGGAAACCACTAAATCTTGGAGATAAAACAAAACATACAAATAGGAAACACATACGGTATTCCAGTTAGTTGAGCTCTTCTTGAATATGATAACTTTGATAAAAGTGCAATAGCTTTTCCAAAGTTTTTAGCATGATAAATATCACCAGGTTGAAATAATAAATTCTTAGGAATATCAAATTCTTTTTCACATAACTGAATAAATAATCGAAGATTTTGAAAGCATAAAAATTGAGAATTTTGTGGCATATGACTAAAGTCCTTCATTGATCTTATATCCAACTCATGATTTGATAATGTGCTTAAAAGGTGACATAAAGCAACACCATCCATTAGTGCTTGAACTAAGTGGATTGCATTGCCACCTGGTCCCAAAGCTGGATGATCTTGTGGAATAATTTGACATCGATTTAACCATTCAGCGCATTGTCTCCAGTCATCTTCCTCTTCCATAGTGATTTTTTATAAGTTGCTACAATTAGATCATTAAAAATTTGTTTAAGTAAATATCGGTAATGCACTTTAATAATTAACAGTAATACAAAGGACAGATGGCTACATTCTTGACAAAAACTATACCTGTGACTTTCAAAACAAATGAGGACGTATAACTACTTTATTATATGTCAGTCATTAAACCCAGTGCAAATGCATATTAAAACTAATTCAGTTTGCTCATCAGCTAATTTACTATCGACCTTCAACTCCCAAAGCACATGAGACAGCCTTAATATACACAGACACTGACTACCGTGAATATATGAGCTCTTGTAAGATTTTAATAGTCATTGATATCAGTTGATGTAAACGGCAAGAAGCCCTGGACCTAGATTTCATGCTTTTTGCCACTTGTCAGTAAGGCGTATCTGCAACCTCGGCGGAAGTGACGCCCAGTTTGAAACCCAGACCCAACCAATGCACACAGTCCAGTCCTACAGGAGGTCAAAAGCAGTCTGAATAGCTCAATGGCAATGTCTCCGACTGCAGCACTGGGTGACGCGGGTTCGGATTTCAGAGCAGACACCAGTTCCGTCGAGGTTGTAGATACGCCTTGCTGAGAAGTGCCAAAAAGACCGAAACCTGCCGATTGACTATATCCAACTATGTTCTAATACATCGCAATGTTAAGTCTCCCAGCTTGGTGACCACATTGCAAAATGATCGACAGAATTTGATCAGCACTTAAGACTGGACAACATGAAGTTGGTTACCTTCCAACGACTGATCAATGTATTACCGCTATTATTACCTTTATTATCTTTTAATTTATGCATTCAAAAAAGTATTTTACAAGCGTCTTTGTACACCTGTGAAGCCCTTCCAAGTGATAACAGATTCTTATAAGCTGCAAAATGCTCAAACGATATGCATGATTTCTGAGTAGCTGCGTCAGATATTTCATGAGAAGGTAGCTTTATGAAAACTAATGTTTAGTAGCATAAGACAACGCACGCAAACGAACAGACTAAAATCTTAAAATACGGAGAAAAGACAATGGAATAAAGATAAAGACATTTAAAAGTGATAGCGATAAAATGTTTAGAAGAACATGAAAAGAACGAAAATGGTGATGAACTCGACATTCAGGCATAGATTTGATGATACATGAGACCTAGCTACTTGATAGTATACAGAAAACAGAACTGGTATACAGTAATAAGTCACTATCAAGACATTAGCCTAACTGTAAAACTTGGACTCTGAGCTGAGGATTTTCGATGACTGTCTCGGTAGGGTTGCTAGTGTGGTGTGGATTCACTCAGTAGGTAGTTCTGACGTCCAGTAGCGACTGGTGAAATGTGATGGAGATCGTCATTAAGTGAATGGAGTTATCTTGAAACATTGCCTTCGGTGGTTTAAACAAGTGTGAGGAACGACGTCTCAATAACTTCTACCTAATTTACTTTGCTAGTCCTGGGACTAAATATGATAAGCGGGAAGGTGTTCAGTGTATGAACTGGTTGTTAGGTTAGTATCTGTTGGCGCATCGCAACCCCTTTCATGGGTTTCGAAGAACTATTCGACTCAATAGCTCAGGAGGTTATTAAATATAGTTAAGAATCAAAGTCAAAAGTTATGATGCTTCAGCTTCTTACTGTTTTTTATTCCAGAAGCGTGATGTAAAAGTTATCCAATCCTTCCCAATATTATCTTACCTGTGCTTAGTACGTTGCTGAGGAGTCAAGCAGAAGCGGCATATGACGGCGTGAAAAGTGTGGGGGGAAGGAGACTTGGAAGAGAATGGTTGGACTGGCAAAGAAACTGTCTGGAGAGGCGAAAACGTTGTAAAGGATATAATATGAATTCTGTTTTTCCGGCTAGACTAGATGTTGTAGGAGCCATAGATAGAGGTGCTGTGAACGCGAATAAATGATCGGGAGATCGTGTGTCTAACAGATACGGGTGCAGCAGTCTCACTGATAGATAAGAGGCAGTCTCAAAACATAAGACCACGTGCGCTAACGGTCCACACGGTTGGAGGATATGCATTAGAAATCGCAGGCTTATCAGACTGTGTCGTTGAGATCGGAAGTCGGAAAATTAGATTTCCATTCATTATCACGACGTGTCTACAACAAACAATCCTAGATGCTGATTTTTCGAGAGAAGTGGGTGTAGTTATTAACATGAGAACAGGGATAGTGGCGACAAAGTACAGGACGTTCACTACTTAGGAAAACAGCGATGTGGCAGAGATTGAGGTATCAAAAGCACCACACCCAGAAGCACCAAACATCATGAAGTTGGTTAAGAAATACGACAGATTGTTCACGGGATATGGAGACCCCCACGGATATTGTGACAAGGTTCAGCATGAAATCAGTGGCAAGTCAAGCAATGACAACATCTATAACACGGCGAACACAATGTCACATGGAATAAATTAGGCACCAGGTTCAGGAAATGCTAAATGAAGGTATTATTGAAGAGGCTGATAGCCTATACAATTTGCTAGTGCTTCTAGTAAGGAAGTTCAGTGGGAAATATAGATTCTGCGTTGATTTCCGAGAGTTGAATACCATAACGCAACTGAAGCCCTGTACCATGCCAACGGTAGCCGAAACGCTGGATAGTCTGCAGAATGCAAAAGTCTTTACGGTTCTAGACCTCCCCTCAGGCTACCGACAGCTACCAATAAAAGAAAGTGATAAGGAGAAAACAACATTTATCGTGGGCAAAAAGCAATACCAATTCAGAAGAATGCCATTCGGTTTTGCAAGTGCGCCACTTACATTTAGGCGGTTGGTTTTGTTGCTGAAGAATTTAGAAGACGTAGAAGTGTATGCTGACAGCCTGATGGTGTACAGTCAGATGGAAGTCGAACATCTAGAACACATGGAAGCTATTTTAAGACGCATTGACGAGTTCGGACTTCGCATCAATAAGACAAAATCTCAGGTAGCCAAGAAGAGTGCTACATCACTAGGACATAAAGTTGGAAATGGGGAAATAAAACCACTACCTGAGAAAATTCTGACGGACAGAACTATTTCAGTGTCGAATTCACAGAGGAAACTGCGACAGTTCCTGGGTAGAGCAGCACTCTGCAGTCGGTTCCTCAAGTGTCTACCAGATAGCAGCACCATTATACGAGCTACTTGGTAACCCCAAATTTATGTGGACAGAGGAGGTACAGAAAACGTTTGATTACATAAAGGAACTCCTAAATGACCGGGAGCTGATTTTAAAACTACCAATACCCGGGAAGCCATTCATTGTGTCCACCGATGCAAGCGATTATGCAATAAGCGCAGTTCCGAGACATATTAAAGTTGTGGAGTATGCCAGCGGTGTCCTGAATCCTGTAGGACAGAAATGTTCCACGGTTGAAAAGGAATGTCTGGCAATAGTTTGGGCGCTGGATAAATGGAGATCATACCTCTTCGGTCAACAAGTCCATATTAAAACTAATCACAAACTTCTACAGTGGCTAAAGACAGCGAGAGACCTCAGAGGGAAATTATCACGGTGGATGTTACGACTGCAGGAGTACGATTTCACAATCGGTTGTGGCAGGGAAAGAAAACTTGTCGGCAGACTTCTTATCAAATCAGACGAAAATGAACTACCTGAGATTGCATAGTGTACATGCAGTAGAACAGGAGCCATTAAGACTAATTCGTTTTCAAAAGTCGGACCCTACACTTAGAGAAGTGATAAAAGCCATAACTGAAGGAACAGAGACAAACAAGTCTGTGGGAAATAAAGAGTTGAGAACGTCGTTGACGCAGAAAGAACGCCTACGGGTGAATATTTATGGGGTGCTGACTTGGCGAGAAAACGACGGGAGCTGGTTGGCAGTGATTCCGAAATGTCTACGCGACAAAATGATACAAGAATGCCTTCCAGTTAGCTCCTACAGGTGTCTCACAGACAGCCGACCTTCTCGGACAAAGTGTATACTGGCTGGGTATGGGAGATGTTGCCAAACGCGTTCTGGGCTGTTCACATTTTCAGCTGATGAAAGGTGATCGGTATATACGACCGCCGCTTCAGTCGATTCCACAGACATCTAGTAGCAACTAATACCTGTTGGTGACAGAACATGCCACACGACGGGGAAAAGGTGCCGCCACGATTCCTGACCAATGTGCGAAGACAGATACCGCGGCGGTGATCAGGTCTACTGTCACAGATCACGGTGTGGCGAAGATGATATTGACCAACCAAGGTCCTTGTTTTGAGAGTGACGAATTCAAATCCTGTTTGGAGCAACTCGATATCAAGAGGATTAGAACGACACCGTACCACCCGCAGACTAACAGTTGGACAGAACGGAATGACCGTACACTTAAGGAGTGGCTGGCTTCGAAAGCCAATGAGGGAATCGGGAGACAGAATTGCCATTAACATTATTAGCGCATCGTGCCTTGGTACAAGGTACAACCAAGATGTTGCCACTCCAGATAATGTATAGCAAGAAACCACGGCTCTCAACACACAGTAAGACCTGGCCTCAACAACAGCCGTGAAACATGACAAGATTGAGAAAGGAGTGGAAACAAGCACTCAGAAACGTGAAACAAAAACAGGAAGCAGAGGCCAAAAGATCCCAGAAGACAGAAGTAAGTAAGTGGAAACCGTTTGAGGTCGGAGACCAAGTGAAATGGAGATAACGAAAATACACTTTAGGTGGTGAACATGGTAGAAGAAAACTACTCCCGAAGTGTGAAGGACCATGCGTCATTACCGAGAGACGCGGTTCAGTTTATACCATCAAAAAAGGGGACAAAGAGAAAAGAGTAAATGCCAGCCTACTTCAAAAATGTAGACGGTGGGAAAAAGAAGAAACTACATGAACACCAAGAGAAGACAGCACCAACACGATCAACACGGCTGCAAGCCCGAAATTTTGACGGGGGGACGAGTGTTGTCAACGCTGCTGATCAGAATGGATATAAATAGTATATTTTAAGAGGGTGGCAGAAATCATAGGCAACTACCAGAAATGC